GTGGGGAGAGTCCACTATCTCCCGAAATGATCTTAAGTGGCCACGCCTGTATAGCCGTTGCCGGGGTAGTCCTACTCACTGTCTTGTTGTGTAGGGGGTGTTGTTGAAAGTGAGAGGACACTAAGTGAGTGACCGTCTGCATAATTAGAAGATCCTTCTCTATGATAGAGACAATCTGAGGCCTGGCAGGAACATGCATCGGTTCAAGTTGTTAAACCTTATATCAGCATATTAAAAGAGGACATGCCCAAGATGGGGATGGAGATAAAGGAAAATAATAATAATCATGGCAGTGGGAAACTAATTCCAAGGGATTTGCTTTAAAAGGAATGATGGTGCCCACAGAACGACACAAAACTGGAGATTCTAGGCCATGTTATACATGGCCTATTTACCTATTGGGATCATCTTATTGATTAAAATATGAATACCTATATTAATCGACGTAGATTGATCCAAAACAGTTAACGACTATGCAGGCTACCATGATGCATCTTTCTTTTAAACTACTCTTAAGTCAACCAACACAGTGTTATAGTAAGCAATTGATTGAACAACATGGTATAACATATCATAGCCACTTGAGTTAACGGAATTTCGCAGCCTCGTTAATGGGTTAATCATTTCACCACACAAAACTATGTTGAATTTCAAAAGTACACAACTTAGTGGTCGCAATATGTTCCAACGATACTTCAGAAACACCTATGGTTGAATATTTCCAGACAGAAATATATATGTATATACGCACACACTGAACGAATATGCATCTAGCAACTCGTAAGAAAATGAAAATTTACCTGGAAGAAACAACATTAAACAAGATAAATCATCTTCATACTTATTTTAAAGATAATTGACGGGAAAAAAACAGACAAATATTACTGAGAAAAGTTAAAACAGAGAGTAAGACAAATTGTCAGATACTTGCCAGTACTCATTAGAAAATAAAATGAACACTCATTGACAGGTAGTTCTACATTTAGCTACTGACTCATCACAAGGAAAACAGAAACATATGATTTTTAGCTATTCATTTTCATTGACTCCAATGAAATAGACTGAAAATTAGTGAATTTTATAGGACATAAGTCAGTCAGTCAGCTACAACGTAGGACCAGGCACAAATATGCATCGGTCCAAGTTGCCATACCTCGTTAACACAACAAGACCGGATTCATAGAAGTAATTAATTTAGTGATGGTAGTATATAAAGAAAGGTTGTATATAAGGATATAGTATAGGAAGGAAAAAAGTTATGAAACAATTTTAATCTCAAGGTTTAAGGGAAGATAAAGAATGTATACACCTACGCCATTGTGATCGATTCTGAGCCATGTCACCTAGAGTCTCCAACCATTGGTTACGATAGTCACGCGGACCCCAACCAGGTAGTCTGCATCTATCAACATGGCTCAGACTAGAAGTTAGTGACTTCAAGCACTGATGCCATGTTTTGGTTTGGCCGCCCCTAACTCTTTTCCAACCATCCCCTACACTAGTCAACATTGCGCGTCGTGGTAATCGGTGTTCAGACATACGTAACACGTGGCCCAGCCATCTCAATCGATGAAGATTCATGACCTCCTCAACTGATTTACCATCATTCCCTAATACCCTGCGCCTAACCTCACTATTACTTACCCGGTTATCTCAGCAGATGCGAGCAATATTTCTAAGGCATCTGTGGTCAAATACTAGTAACCTACGAGTATCTTCTACTCTTAATGGCCATGTTTCACAACCGTAAAGTAGAACAGAGCGAACTGCTGTGCAGTATACTCGTCCCTTAATTGATAGACGGATATCTCGTCTTCGCCATAGGTGACGTAAGTTGGCAAAAGCCAAACGAGCTTTTCGAATCCGTGCTGAGATTTCGTCAGACACCAACCCATTAGGGCTGATCAGACTACCAAGATAAGTGAAGTTGTCGACGCGTTCGACTACTTCACTCCCAATCCTAAGTTCAGGTGTTGACGCAGGTCAGTCCTGGAGTAACAATTTACATTTGGATGAGGAGAAACGCATCCCAAACATCCTGGCATTATTACTCAGTTCTAACAGAAGATTCTGCATTTTTTCAGCGTCTTCACTAAACAGGACTATGTCATCTGCGTATTCTAAGTCGCTTAGTGGTCCCCCTGGTAGGAGATCAATTCCTGAAAATTCAGTCGACGAGTGTTATTTCCAGCAACAGGTCTATAATGAAGTTAAAGAAAATGGGGATAGTGGACAGCATTGACGGACACCACTTGAGGTTGTAAAATCATATGACAATTCGCCATAAGCTCTTACTCGACTGGTAGTGTTCGAGTAAAGAGCCTTCACAAGGTTTATGTACTTATGAGGTACACCTTTTAATGACAGACACTGCCACAGAACCTCTCGGTCTACAGAATCAAATGCTGCTTTCAAGTCAAGAAAAACTATCATTGTCGGACGCCGATAAGCATGTCTGTGCTCTGAAACTTGACGAATGGTGAATATGTGGTCGATACAGCCACGACCAGGTCTGAAGCCAGCCTGATTTTCTCGTGTTTGCAGTTCACGAGTCTTAGTTAGGCACCCGATAATTATTGAGGCTAGTATTTTAGATGCTATGTTAGTCAGACTAATCCCTCTATGGTTATCGCAGGATGATTTTGGCCCCTTCTTATATATTGGGACAATCAGAGATTGTGACCAGTCAGATGGGATTACGTCCGTCTCCCAGATTTTAACCAGAATATTAGTCAACCTAATCGCTAAAATTGGACCACCATATTTAAAGACCTCTGGAGCCAATCCATCTGGACCAGCTGCTCTTCCTCGTTTTAGATTACTTATAGCCTTTTGAACTACAAGTAGGGTCGGGGGGCCTACTTCAATGTTCCATTCAGGTTTTCTGGGAATAGTGGGTAGTTGTGCAGTAGCTGAAGGCCAGCTAAACTGCTCCTATAGTGTTCCGCCCATCGTTCTAAACGTTTGGGTTGAGAGCAGATAGGGGTTCCGTCTTTTTCCGAGATTGTCTCACTTACACTTGACTTCATAATTTCGGTTTCTTTTATTAGTCTGAATAGTTGCCTGGTGTTGCCTACAGCCGCTGCCTTTTCCATCTCTTTTGCTTTCGGTATAGGACATAAACTCAGGCTTTCAATGTCGGTCAGTCAGTTACAACGTAGAACTTCGTACGTACGTACATCAGTTCGAGTTGCCATACCACATTAGCACAGAGATGAAGTCGATTCAAATCCCATATTGGTAGAAGTAGTAAGAGTATAAGTATTATGTGAAAGATAAGGGTTTGAAGATGTTATTGAAGGAGTATAATACAGTGAAATAAATATGGAAAGAGAAAAAGGATAGAGACATGAAGAATTCAGAAGATTAGAATTTGGCAGAACACAAAGAGTGGATGCACTTTAGCCATTGCAAACGATTTTGAGTCATGTCATTCAAGGTCTCTAACCATCGGTTGCTGTCATCTCGCGAATCCCAACCAGGTAGTCTACACCTACCAACATGGCCCAGTCCACTTGTCAGCGACCTCATGGATTTATGCTATGTTTTGGTCTGGCCACCCCTAGCTTTCTTCCAACCTACTCCTACACCATAAAGCATTGCACGTCGGGGCAGTCGGTGGTTGGGCATACGTAACACATGTCCCAGCCATCTCAACTGATGAAGTTTCACTACTTCATCAATCGATTTGCCATCCTTACCCAGTACCCGTTCCCTAACATCTGCATTACTTACTCGGTGGTCCCAGGATATACGAGCAATGCTTCAAAGACACCTATGATCGAATACTAGTAGCCTACGAATATCCTCTACTCTTATGGGCCATGTTTCACTGCCATAAAGTAGAACGGAACGAACTGCTGCACAGTAAACCCGTCCTTTTGTTGCTAGACGGATATCTCGCCTACGCCATAAATGGCGCAAGTTGGCGAAAGCTAGACGAGCCTTCTGTATCCGTGCTGAGATTTCGTCACACACTAGACCACAAGGGCTGATGAGACTCCCAAGATAAGTGAAGCTGTCAACACGCTCAACTACTTCACTAGCTATCATTAGTTCAGGTGTCGATGCAACTCAATCCTGAAGTAACATTTTGCACTTCGAGGGAGAGAATCGCATCCCGAACATGCTTTCAATGAGTTTCATTCCGAAAATTTAAGTTAATTTGTGTCCACAATACAAGAATAAAAAATAACGAATCGCACCTAGTAAGATGCTTTTTTTCTAATTGAATTCACTGTCCAAAGATGTTTGATCACAGAAGAGTGGAGAGAAAGTGGGAATGTGAATGCATATGTGGTGATGAGAATATAAGACTGAAAACAGGTAGGTTCTTTCATGTTACGAAAATAAGAATGCCAAAGGAACATCTGTTTTATCACATTGAGATTTGATGATGAGGGTAATGGTAGTAGATCTCAAACGCTAGTTCATATAAGTAAGCGTCTAGTATCTTTGACAGGGGAGGAAGGTATGTTGGTGAATGAGATGTAAGTCTATCATTGTGGTAAATAATAAGCAACAAGAAAAAACAATATACACTAGTCTGTGTAGACAAAAAACATTTTAGAGTAATTGTTATGATAAGAATTGATGTACAAAAGAAAACTTTAGATATATACCCAAAATGGGCAACTCAATTTAAGCGATACGCAAATATGTCCCCTAACAAGATGTATCTGGTAAAAATGAACAATATTATTGCATGATGTTCTTTTACAATAATTCTTCAGTGAACAGCAAGTTTCGGGAAATATGTATTGTAAGTGCTTATGTGCTATCTATTTCGCCATATGATACTGAATCAAGAAAATCTTAAGGCTGAGGGAAAAGGGCAGCATACATCACAAACTTTATATGTGGGTTGTTATGAAACCATAATATCAGCAGAAAAGACACTACTTTAAAACCAAAATAACGAATTAATGGACAATATTCAATCTAGTTAAAAGGTGTCATTTCATCAACAGATAAAAAAGATAAGTATTTCAAAAACTTACCAACTTATCGTAGGAGGAAGAGAATGACGCTTATTTGAAAAGAAACGTGCAATGCTGCTACTTAATGGTCTCCTTTGTAACACTGACACATTACAAATATTAGTAGTAGTGGTAACGGTATTAGTAGTATTAATATCACCACCACCATGACATCCAGCAATAACAGTGTTGATGGCAACAGGATTTGTTGTAATATGACTATTTTTCGGTAATGGGGGTATAGGTCCTAAACTAAGAACTTCAATAAGTTCAAGGAATCTCTGACGTTTTTGCTCTACATGAGGAGGTAATTGTATAGTGCTTAGATCCACTGACAAAAATGACTGGATTCCAGGTAATAAAGCTGTAAAAACAATTTTAGAAAAAAAATAAAGAATTATTGATTAATAGTAAAACTTTTATTTGATTAACTTAGAAATTACTTTTATAAAGACTGAGTATTTTCAGTAAGCCGAACAATGAGAGACGATCACAAACAACAGAACATGAAGATAGGCACTGCAAAACTAAAGAATTCTCAGACAAACCGATTAGATAAGTCAATTTGAAATATCGTAAAAGTTAAACTATGTCAGGCTAGAAGTATGTATCAAATTCATTTTGTGTCCTGATAGGAGTATTAGAGCGGTTTCTATTTCCCAGCTCCCCATGACGTGGGAGGGTACTTTTTCAGGTGCCTGATAAGAAAACTGGGTCAATAAAGGGTCTTAACAACCTGAGAGCGTGGCAACATACCCCAAAGAGCAACTCCCTGAAGCCAGTTACATGGCGTTCTTGTGAGTAGTTTTTCGTGTGTTAACATTATACTGTAAAACCCTTACCGCCAGCGTCGATAATTTAAAGGGAAAGTTAAGGTGTGTTCTTTTTAGGAATGATCTGGAATATCTTCCGTTTTGGGAAGGCAGTTTTGCTGCAGATGATGGTTGTCTGAGGTAAACACTTTACTGCCGTCACACCTCTATACAGTCATCAGTGCTAAATCACCCTCAGACCAAGAATTTATTACTTTGGGTTCCAACATCCCCCCCTATTCTGATATGATAGGACCTGAAGGAATGAGTTTCCCAGCCAGTATGTTTCCTCCATACAGCCCTTTTATTTTGTCGTTTTTCGATATTTTGTTTTTCTGATTGTCGTTGCTACCACAGTATTCTGATTTCTTTAATATTCACATTGTCAGTTTTGTTTCGTCGTGTTAATGTGGTATGAGAACGGGCTAACACATTTGGTAGACTACGTTGGTTATGACCAATATATGCATGTATCACTTCTGATTTAAACCATGTTGGCGAACGTGAAAACACTGTTTTAAAATCAGTAAAATTATTAGTTGTACAAAGAATTAGAATACAATGACACTACTTGATTAGCTAACTCTAGTCAAGCAACCACTCTATACTCAGGATACTTTTTTAATTGGAAATATCACTTCCCACAAGCTGGTTATTTCACGGTGTTATATGGCCTAATGAATCTACCAAAACACTGGTTAACATAATTCAAAGCAAAGCAATTTGCTTTACGCAAATAAACTCAAGAATAGTTTTTACTTGGTTTGAGTTAACACGAATGTAGTTTTAATAGTCAAAGGAGTGTATTACATATATCAAATAACCATTATGATTTATGCTCTGCAAAATGGTAGTATACGTAACGATAGGTTTGTTTATGCACAAATTTAGAAAAAAAGTCTCGCAATATTTATGAAACAATGTCTACTACTAAGGGCGAACTGTGTATAAATTAATAACGATAGTCTCGAAAACCGTCTAATATTACCACAAATGTTGGTAATAATAGTAACATGATGGTGACGTTACCGAAGTTGCTACCTATGTAGTCTGGGTTTGTTAGTTGCGGTCCATTCAAGATATGTTGACCGAAACACTCGTTCCTTCAAGTCTTACTATATCAGACAGATGGGCTGGCGAATGAGACTAACATAAACAAAACTCTTGGTCTGAGAGTGATGTAGTACTGATGACTGTACAGAGATGTGACAGCAGTGAAGTGCTTACCTTATACGGCCAGTATCGATTATAAGAACAGCACACCTCAAGTCTCTCCACGGGTTTCCCCCACAAGCAGCATGACCTTAAAAATCAGTCAGTTAGTCATACGCAACGTAGAACCGAGGACATACATGTACTGACTCAAGTTGCCACACAATAATAGCACAGCAATGTGCTACAGTGCAAAGCATACTCACAAAAACTATTTGCAAAACGATCATGTGAGACCGGCCTTAAGCAATCATGAGCCCAGGTCAATAAAACTACTATCAATATAATTTGCTCTTCAAATACCTCAAAAACAAGTATTCTCCCATGGTGTGGGTGACTGGGAGGTAGAAATCGTTCAAACAACTCTAACAGAATGAGATTTAGTATATTAGTGGAAAAAACATGTGCAATAACTCATGAGAACATCGGTACTTTTGTATCGGAATGTTATGGAAGACATGTTTTTGGCCAAAAAAGTGGTTTAGAAAACAAAAACACTACACCTACGTCATACTACGAATAAAAACCACCAGTAGTACCTATAAGTACTTTAGTATATTGGAAGCTGAAGAGGCTGAGTGTTCATTTTATAGATGTCCGACTTCGCCTTCATGTGATGTTTGTACAAGAGTAAGAGTTAAATCAGACATTCAGTAAGTCTCAAACACCTACGGTATTTTGAGTACCCTGGATTCAAATCGGCAAACTACGAGGAAATAAGTTACTAACCCACTTTCAGTAGGAACGAACCTTAAAAAAAATATCTGTTACTTGCATCGTTCTTGGGAAGTAATTGAGCAACACTAGAAACTCTAGATGTAGACGGTTTTCTAACAGAACTGAAACACTGTGAGTTGACTGTCATCAGCTGGTTCAAAAAGTAAATCTCGTGCCCGTTTATCTGGAAATCCTGACATTCATGTCCAAAGAAAGCAGTGTCGATCACAGTCAGAGCTAAGAGTCAAGCAGGAATAATTGGATTTCCACTAGCAAGCATTCCTGTTCAGATAGGACAGGAGATTCAACCATAACAAGTGATTGGCCAAATTGAAAATTGCTCGCTGTCCACGCATGCATTCAAATCCATACTTGTTATCCCACGACTCAACGAGTACAAAGTTAGAGTATCATACAAACTTATTATCTTTTTGAGCCCAGACAACTGCATATAAATTCGAAGACATGTAGAAAGTTATTTACTTGTAGCTGAACAAACACTGGACGTCTCGGTTTTTGTATGTTATAAGGTGGACTATGGAAAGACTGATAATAGGAAATAAAATATCTCCAGCTTCAAAATGAATATGAAAATATGCCCAGATAAACGCAATATGTGATGTCTGCTATCACTTATAAGGCAGAAATTGTAATATATAGAGACGCTTAGGCCATATTACTGTTTAACACTTCTCTTCATATGAGAGAAACTAACAAACAGGAGTACAGATTATCATGATTTGAAAGCAGAATTATTTCCACGGTAATCCAAAGAACCGTGGAGTACATTTCTGATGCAATTACCAGAATTCCAAAGTTATTTTACGAAAAAAGCAACTTAAAAATAAGATTATAGCTCTGTTTGTGAAATTTACCAACTGACTAACTTTCTATTACAGCCATCATAAGACGACAAAACCTTCACCGGCTTCAAATCCGGCGGTACTTCCTTGCTGCTGAGATTGATACGGGATAAAGGCTACCTTGAAGGTCCCACAGTGTTAGAATACGTCGTCCATCGAAACTAGCCATACATTTTGCCTGGTGACAAGATGTAGAAGGAACGAATTGAATCCTTTTAATCTCCATACAATTCGGTAATGCGTTTGGCATGCAGTTCATGAACATTCAATGTCCAATCAACTAACGACACAAACTACAGTTACTTCTTTCTAATATGATCTAAAATGGTTCAAATGGTTGAGGACGTAATAGAAGAAGCCTTCGCTTAACGGGCTTCCGTGTCTAGTAGCAGTGGATCACCAATACCTCCAGGCAAAAACCTAGGTATATGAACGATAATAGAGGAAAAAAGAATTTGGTAAATCATAATAATATGTTATCCTTAGTCCTTATGAATAAGTCAAGTTTTCTCTTAAAGGACTCCTGAGAGGTCGCTTGGACTAGCTCAGTCGGCAGCGAATTCCAGCACTTGACAACTCTAACGGAGTAGAAGTTGTGTCTGCAGTCTGTTCTGCTATGTAGGGTCTCCAATTTCTGGATGTTACCCTTAGGTTAGTGTTACGACTAAGCTTAAGAAGATGTTTAAGGGGGTGACCAGAAGTATTAAGGATACTGTAAGTCATAAGAAGGTCACCTCTAAGACGCCCGTACTCTAACGGGTAAAGGCTAAGTGGTTGGAGGCGCTCTTCGTAAGGTTGGAATTTGAGTGCACAAACCGATTTCGTGGCTCGACGTTGTATACGTCCCAGAGTGTCCTTATCCTTTTGGAGGGAGGGAGGAAATACTATGTTTCCGTACTCTAAATGGGGACGTATAAAACTGTTGAAGATTATGTGAAAGGTTCTATCGTCAAACTGGCCAAAAATGCGCTTCAATGTTAACAGTGCAAGGTTTGCTTGAGAGGCGTTTTTGTCACAGTTCGCATACGATTTCAGGTCGTAGGGTACCAACACTCCTAAATCTTTTTCAACTTGGGAAACTTCTAGAGGGGAGTTACCTAAGTTATAACTATAGTCTGCAACATGTCTCAGATGGACTACTTTGCACTTTGAAGTGTTGAAGGTAAGTCCGTTGTCATTTGCTCAACTTTGAAGTCGGGTCAGATCCTCCTGCAGAACTAGTATATCATTGTGATTACGTATCTCTCTCCAAAGTTTCACATCATCAGCAAAAAGCAATAAATCAGATGAGACTTGTTGAGGAAGATCGTTAATGTAAATCAAGAAGAGAAGAGGTCTTAGTATTGAGCCCTGGGGGACCCCACTAGGACATTCCATAGCCTGAGAGAGAGTGAAGTTAACCCTGACCTTAAAGTGTCGGTTTTCTAAATATGAAGAGAGCCAATCAATCAAAGGGCGTTTTATACCCAATAGTCTAAGCTTCTTGATAAGACATACGTGGTTGACCCTATCAAAAGCTTTTGAGAAGTCCAGGTAAATGACGTCAACCTTCCCCTTGCGATCAAGGATGGTTGTCCATCTATCCACCGCAGTCAGCAGGTTGGTCATACACGAATGACCTTTTCTGAAACCATGCTGTTGAGGCGAGAAGAACTTTGAGGATGATAAGTATTCTAGTATACCGTTGTATATTAGGGATTCCATAATTTTGGAAGGTATGGAGAGAAGTGTGTTACGTACCAGTTAAATTCGCGCTCTAATGCCTTAACGACCGCGAGGAATTGCGTGCGCGAGTCCGTGATTCCGTGCCCGCAAAAGTCAGCTTCTGCTTAGCAGAACCAGGCCTCGATATTGTCAGGCTAAAAATGCGTTAACTGAATCGAGGTTGGATGGATAGTTTTTAACTTAAATACCTTAGGTGTCTTTCCGTCATAGTATTATTAAAACCAAATATATAATTAAAATATATCCTAAAAATTCGGAAAAAAAGGTATATCACAATATATAAAAATCAAATAAAAAAACAATGAATAATGAAGTTCAAAAAAGGAACAGACTCACAGTATTTGGTGTAGCATATCACGTCGGTCTCACTACTGAAGATACGACCAGCATTGTAGTTTTAAAAATATAAACCAGTAACACCTGTATTCGAAGCGTCCCCCAATCGGCTAAAATCAGAAGTCAGATGCAAAGAGATCGGAAAGATATATTTGATACGTTATCAATATATCGATAAGAGTTTACTCTAATCTGGCTAGTGAACGTAGGAGCTGTTTCCCACGCTGGGTCATAACGTGATCTGGTACGGATGCATTACCGAAAGCCTTCAGTTAAACAAGTCCACTTAAAACAATGGGATCAGCATCCAATGTCGAGCACTTAATGAAATATTGATTTTGGGGAATTATTATTGACAACTACAAAAATCATCAATACACAGTGGATTTGTTACAAAACAATAGACACCCAGTGCTAATCTTACGTTTTGCACGATAAACCTATTCTCTCATAGAAGAAGTTATCACAGTAGATGGATTTTACTGGATAAACTTTGGCTGAAGATACTTGATCATGAATCCGCACCAGATCATTATCGGGTCTGCCGTGCTAGACAGCCCTTGCAACACGTATTCAGCTTGGCTCAGATACTTCTCGATACATCTATCAACCTTCCAGTAAACTCTACGACCGGCATACACTAACGGTCAATATAATCGTCTGTTATACAACACTGATATGATGATGAAGTTTATTCATCTCACATACGCCAGAGCAGAAGCTAGAATCTTCTATCTGGAATACCACTGGCTGTCTACAAGATCTTGTCTTTGATTTACAATAGGAGAATGGGAAACCGATCGCTACATATGGTGAAAGGTACATTGGCCTAAGTGTTGGTTTGCGTGAACCCGTCCCCTGGATTTGGGTCCCTGCATATAATAGTTAGTATAGGCCTGCTACAAATCCACAATCTACTTGTCGGCCCAAACAAACGCAGGTTAATCGACAGAAATACTAAATTTTCTGATTACGGAGTCTCGTATCTTGTCTTTTAGTTAATACTAGGTCACAATCACATATGTAATCGATCCATATTCTTAACCTATACCCAACGGGTGTCCCAAAATGTACAAAACATGAACACGATTTCCAAGAGTAAACAGCGAATTATCACATCACATAACAACTATGAAACCATCGGTACTTTCGAAAGCGCGTTTGGCGTGCCGCTGGTGATTATCAGTGAGTGAACATGTAAATAAACCTAGATCGTTACCCGGTGCCACACATCTACGACTAGACGGCCACCTTGAAAGATAAGTCTGTATTCCTGAAAATAGACTTGGTTAAAGTATATGACTGAATTCTTACAGTTGAGTGAAAAATTATTAGAATGCTTATCACCATTCATTTTGGACTTTACTAATTTTTGCATACGCCTTTTGGATGATACCTTAATTCCGCAAATGATTCTCGAATTTATAGTGAACCTGAAATAAATTAGTCTATTTATATTGCCTGAAAATGAACATTTGAGACATGGCCAGTTACGTTTTTTACCATATTTTTAGCACAGTATTCAAGGTATTTGAATACATGGTCAACACACAAGGTCACCAGACGGTGTTGGTTTGGCGTCTTAACTTACTGTTTGTGCTTGTTCATGTAAGACCTCTTAATAACTCTTGATACAATTATGTCATACCATCGAACTTGAGTGGCTAATCAAAATTAAACCAGTTGATGGGCAATTTTAAAACTTTATTTTTGATAGCTTCTTGATGAGTTTACTGGTTTTCCTTCTATTTTGTATTTTGAAAGGATTGGATGGTGGTTTTCTTATATGGTGAACTCCTGAGGATAGTTTACTGGGGTTAGGAATGTTTCGATCGAGAGTTAAGGTGTGGGAGTTTCAGGGTTAGTACATCAATTAAACAATAAAGGGGAAAATGTGTTGCGAAATATGAGGGAACGCGCCGAAACGTTTACGTTTTCGCCTGTCCGGGGAAATATTGCGGGTTTTCCCGTTTATGTCGCTCTGCATTTGAAATGTCGCTCAATTGTCTACTTTTCACCTAAATATACGCCTATTTGTCTACTTTTCGTCTGTATACACACCGATTTATCTAATTTTGCATTCATTTTTAAAAAACCTTTGGCCTAACCTCAGACGTTTTCTGTGCTCGCCTTGATTCCCACAACACAACACCCCAAAACTGTAATCCACGTAAAAAATGTTCCGAAGAAATTTCTGAAAAAAAGCGTATTGTTGTACATGTCGAGTAGTTGGCAGATGCTAGAGAATCAATCGTTATATTTTAATTATAATTGCCAAGTTTCATTGTAGTTTGAAAAGAGCTACAAAAGGAAGAACAATTGACGTATTATTAATAAGGCACATGTACTTAATTGCAAATGCATTTAAAATCAAACAGGATTTCTCAAAACTTAGTCAAAGAGGTTCCCATGCAAATTAAAAAGTAAGCGCATGTTTAAAAAGACGTTTATTGAAAACGGAGTTAAACATGATAAACATTCCATTGATTATTTCTTTTCGTAACACCTGTTCGACTTGTAAAAATCAAAATAATCTTGTGAATTCTAAAACGTAAAGAATAAAAAAGTTACTATGTCTGAATAACATGCTTCTGCACAACTAGCTACTTAAAGCCGAACTTACGGTTATGTTCGTTAACACTGAAGACTGTACCTATAGTGCAATAGAGAATAGTAATCACTTTAAGTTAGTGCATACATGTTCTTTTTTCCTTCGATTACGCCTTTCTACCTTGTCTCTCATGTCGTGCAAATAACCTTACGTCGCAATGTCGTACAGTTTCTCAAGGTCTTTTTTGTTGACAGATGATGACAGAAACCGATTAGTGAATGCATCTGGATATATATATAATCGCAGTCTAAACTGGACCAATTACATTTTAATCAGCAATATCAGCTTTGTCGCGTTCTATCACCTAGAACTTTTATTTAAGAGTTTATACTGTCAGAACCAGTAAACTTTTCTTGTCTGAAGTTTTGAATTGGTTGTAAGAAGACTCCCTTCTCAAAGTACTTGAAATATATCATCCGATCCCCGGGTTACTGGTCTAGCCACAGCCATCCAATTATCCTCTCTCTCAAATAACAACTCCGGTGTCACACAAATATCAGTTATATTCTACTTCTACGCACTAACTGATAGTAGTTTTATTTTCTCCTCCAACCATACAATCAGCTTAAAGAGTATGCGATTGAGGAATAGTATTATCATCTCTCGCCGATCCTAATTATTTAGTATATAACCTTGAAGTATTACTTCGCTTTTAATAGTAATCTTTGTAAATTAAGTTGTACAACTAGTTTTGAGGTCGGGTTTTTCCGACTTCTTCATGTTGGTCATAATAATGTAGCGCTCTCAAATTTCATAAGCTTGTGTTCATAGTGTGTAAAACAGGTAATAAATCCATCAGTTAAACCACCTGGCTCGTAGAATACAACATCTAAATTAGAATCCTTTTATCATTTTATGTAGAGTACACCAATTAATTTTATTTCCTTTCAGAAATTTTCAGTTTTATGGGTTTTCTGATGAATTTCCATATATATATCATAATACATTTGGGTGTGTGGATCATTCACCCTCATAAATCTAATTCATACATTAATAAACACGTTAAATCTCACATAGTAGGGCAACTTAGATTTCAGGCTCCTATCGATCGGTATTCATGTCATACTAGTAACTGTAATTTTATATCTGTTTTTAAGCGTCAATGTTGTTTTATACAGAATCTTCATACTTAAGTCTGTTCTTCATTTTCTTCATCATAACTTAAAATTACGGTGGAAAGGTTAAATATTAAGTCCTGGGACAAATTAAGTACACTTACACGCATGATTATTAGCCGGCTCCCAAATGCCCTGGTACGGCCGAGAGTGGGGAGAGTCTGCTCTCCCTCTCGAAATGCTCTCATATGGCCACGCGAATATATAGCCTCTGCCAGGGAAGTCCTACTCACTACCTTCTCGTGGGACCGGTGTTGTTCACGAAAGTGAGAGGACGAAAAGCGAATGTCCGGCGCTTTAACCGGGTTGGTGGACATGGAAAGTTCACCTAGGGTAGTTGGAAAACCCTGATTCCAAACCAATGGTGCACATGGGCTCCAGTATCCTGAAGGAACGAATGGTCACCGGCTACCATGGGACTGCATCTCCTTACGATGCTTCACTACCTTGTGGACTAGACCTTTAGGTCAAAGGCTCCGGGTGTGGCCTAAGAAAACCACCTGCTTCAGTCTGGGCACCTGAGCAGTATCACAGCCCTCACACAAATCGAACGAGATTTGTGAGGCGCATATTTATTTGGTGTTTCCTTGTACCAATATTTATGTATTTAAATAAAATAAATGAATAAATATCTATGCTCATCAGCTCATGTTCATTAGTGCCGTCAAGAACTTAATTATTTTAAAGACATTTTCCTGCTACACATTTTGAAGAAATAGTATCATGTAACCTCGCTTTTTCTGATACTGTTTTATGATTAAGCTCCGATATAATTGTGGAAGAAACTATTTTAACGATTGCGACCACCATTTTTCTAGTTATTAGTTATCACGAGTATATATATGTAGGGTATTGTGAGGTATTTTCAGTAGTCGTTTCAGTGGTATTTCTCGTTATCAACGTAATTATATACATCCCGCCCCATTTGAATCCTCAAGGTTCTATATTTTATTGGGAAAGTTACAAAATAGAAGTGTATGAATATGTATGAACTTATGCAACATGTCGTATCCAAATATCAATGTCCTCAACGACCCGATAATCTTAAAAAGTACAATCTTTATTTTCTTGGAATTCGGTCTAATTTTGTTTTAGAATCATCTGGTCACTCTGTGTTGCAAGATCAGTTTTCAATAAACCAAACATCATTAGTTGGCGGGATATGAAGTTTAACACTTGTTTTGTTTTGGGGGGACCGGGTGCTGGGAAAGGTACAGTATGCCAGCAAATTGTGCAGGTCAGTTTATTTAAATTTGTTTTTTTTTGTAGGGCCCTACAGAAACATGTTAACTTAATGTTTAACTTTTGATCAGTAAATTTCAGGTTACTGCTTTACACCAAATCAAAACATACCTTCTGTCCTTGACTGATGGTCCGTATCATGCTGGTACATACAGACTTCCTGATTGGCCCCCAAATGCCATAGTACGGCCGAGAGTGGGGCGAGTCCGCTCTCCCTCTCCGAATTCTCTCACATGGCCACGCATATATAGCCTCTGTCAGGGAAGTCTTACTCACTGCCTTCTCGAGCAACGGGTGTTGTTTACAAAATTGAGAGGACGAAAAGCGAGTGTCCGGCGCTTTAAACGGGTTTTGGGGCACGGCGAGTCCACCTAGGGTAGTTGGAAAACCCTGATTCCAAACCAATAGTGCACATGGGCTCCAGTATCCTGAGGGAACAAACGGCTTATGGTTCAATCGTTGGTCATCGGTTACCATAGGACTGCACCTCCTTACGATGCTCCACGGCCTTTTAGATCAGACCTTTAGATCATAGGCTCCGGGTGTGGCCCCCTAAAAAACCATCTGCTTCGGTTTGGGCACTCGTGCAGTACCACAGCCCTCACACAAATCAAATGGGATTTGTGTGGCGTATATATATGGTAATTCCGCCTGCAGCTCTTCTAGTGTTACTGCCGGTCCTAAGCCCGGGTAAAGGAGGGGGGTTGAGCATGGGGTTAGCGACCCCATCCCGTAGAAAAGCTAACTCGCTAAAAAAACGCTAACCAGAAAAAATAATTCAAACCATTTAAACTCTGCCCTCGGAGTTGAAGGTATAATTATGACGTCTCATAATGAAAGCCGAAATTCTTCGGAAGTCACGAGACCGATGCACCTTCTAACAACCAGAGCAACACTCTTTATAGGTACATGGAACGTCCGGACAATGTGGGAGACAGAAAAGACCAGCCAAATAGAAATGGAAATGAGGAGATACAAATTGGCAGTACTCAGAATCAGCGAAACCCATTGGACACAAGCTGGACAACAAAGGATAGGTACAGAAAAGATGCTGCTGTACTAAGGTCACGAAGGGGAAAATGCTCCACACACTCAGGGAGTTGCTCTAATGCTGTCCAAAGAAGCACGAAATGCACTTGTGGGATGGGAATCTCATGGACCCAGGATAATCAAAGCATCATTCAGAACAAAGGAGCAAGGGATCACAATGAACGTTATCCAATGTTATGCACGCACCAATGATAGGAACGACGATGTTAAAGATCAGTTCTATGAAAGGCTGCAATCAATTATAGCAAAGTGCTCACGAAAGGACCTCACCATCCTGATGGGAGATCTAAATGCTAAAGTTGGAGTGGACAACACAGGATATGAAGATATAATTGGACGACATGGACTAGGAGAGAGAAATGAAAATGGGGAGAGACTTGCAAACCTATGTGCATACAACAAATTGGTTATAGGCGGCACAATATTCCCACACAAACGCATACACAAAGCTATATGGATCTCACCGGACCAAACCACAGAGAACCAGATAGATCACATCTGTATCAACAAAAAATTCCGAAGATCAATGGAAGATGTGAGAACCCGGAGAGGAGCTGACATAGCTTCAGATCACCACCTGGTTGTGGCCAAGATGAGACTGAAGCTAAAGAAACACTCAACAACTGGACAAACAGCAACAAAAAGGTTCAATACAGCCTTTCTTCGAGATACTGACAAGCTTCATGAATTCAAGATAACTCTCAACAACAGGTTCCAAGCTCTACAGGATCTACTGAAAAAACAAGAAACTACTTTGGAGGACAACTGGAAAGGGATAAAAGAAGCACTAACTTCAACGTGTCAGGAGGTTCTTGGCCCTAAGAATCATCATCACAAGGAATGGATCTCTATGGGAACCCTGGACAAAATTCAAGAAAGGAAGAACAAGAAACTAGCAATTAACAACAGCCGAACACGAGCAGAGAAAGTCAAAGCACAAGCAGACTACACAGAAGCAAACAGGGAAGTGAAGAAAAGCATTAAAGCCGACAAGCAGAAATACATGGGAGAACTAGCAACGACGGCGGAAAAAGCTGCAAGAGAAGGGAATATGAAACAACTATATTATATGATACAACGAAGAAATTGGCAGGGAGATATAGCAAACCGGAGAGACCAGTCAAAGACAAAGAAGGAAAGACAATCACTGAGATTCAAGAACAGAAGAAAAGATGGGCAGAATACTTCGAAGAACTGCTGAATAGACCAGCTATATTGAATCCACCGAACATCGAAGCAGCACACACTGACCTTCCAATAGATGTCACTCCACCAACGATCGAAGAAGTCAAGATGGCCATCAGACAAATCAAAAGTGGGAAGGCGGCAGGACCTGACAATATACCAGCAGAAGCACTGAAGTCAGACATTGAAATAACTGCAAGTATGCTTCACCTTCTATTCAAGAAGATTTGGGAAGAGGAACAAGTGCCAATGGACTGGAAAGAAGGATATCTCATCAAGATACCAAAGAAAGGAGATCTGAGCAAATGTGAGAACTACAGAGGCATCAGTTTGTTATCAGTACCAGGAAAAGTTTTCAACAGAGTGCTGCTGAATCGGATGAAAGACGCAGTAGACGCCGAACTCCGGATCAACAGGCTGGATTCCGTAAGGATAGGTCGTGCACAGACCAGATTGCGACACTACGGATCATCGTTGAACAATCAGTTGAGTGGAACTCATCACTATACGTCAACTTCATTGACTATGAGAAGGCGTTTGACAGCGTGGACAGGAGAACATTATGGAAACTTCTTCGACACTACGGAGTTCCTGAGAAGATCGTCAACATTATCCAAAACTCATACGATGAACTACAGTGCAAAGTGGTGCATGGAGGACAGCTGACAGATGCATTTCCAGTAAGGACCGGAGTCAGACAAGGCTGTCTACTCTCCCCATTCCTCTTCCTTCTAGTGATTGACTGGATTATGAAGGATTCGACATCTGAAGGGAAATACGGAATACAATGGACTTCTCAGAATCAATTAGATGATTGGGACTTCGCAGATGACCTAGCCCTCCTCTCTCATACACACGACCGAATGCAGATGAAGACAGCAAATGTAGCAGCAGCCTCTGCATCGATAGGCCTCCACATTCACAAAGGAAAAAGCAAGATTCTCAAATACAACACGGAGAACACCAACCCAATCAAACTTGATGGCGAAATTCTGGAAGAGGTGGAAACATTCAAGTACCTGAGGAGCATCGTTGATAAACAAGGAGGATCGGATGCAGATGTAAAGGCGAGGATTGGCAAAGCAAGGGCAGCATTCCTACAATTGAAGAACATATGGAACTCAAAACAACTCTCAACCAATTTCAAGGTCAGAATCTTTAATACGAACGTCAAGACAGTTCTACTGTATGGAGCTGAAATGTGGAGAACTACTACGGCCATCATCAGGAAGGTACAAGTATTTATAAACAGTTGTCTACGCAAAATACTCAACATCCATTGGCCGGATACTATCAGTAACAGCGTTTTATGGAAGGTGACAAACCAGCTGCCAGCTGAAGAGAAAATTAGGAAAAGACGTTGGGAGTGGATCGGACATACATTAAGGAAATCACCAATGTGCATTACAAGGCAATCCCTTACTTGGAATCCGGAAGGGAAGCGGAAAAGAGGAAGGCCAAAGAATACATTACGCCGGAAAATAGAAGCAGATATGAAAAGGATGAATAACAACTGGAAAGGAAGGCCCAAGACAAAGTTGGATGGAGAATGCTGGTGAGCGGCCTATGCTCCTCGACGAAAGGTAACAGGCGTAAGTAAGTAAGTATTATATTAATGTGGTGCTCTTTTGTACCAATATTTATGTGTTTAAATAAAATAATAATATTAAATAATAACTTCCTTGTTGTGGTCCGCTCGATAATCGTCATCAGTGGTTGAAGACTTGATGACATATCTTTAAATACATCTGCACCACTGTAAGGGATTCTCTATTCGCTGCTTCTAAGTCCTCAGTTCCGATGTTCATCAAAATGCGTCTTTTCGTTTTGTCTTCACAAACCGTATACTCAATACCAGCTTTTCCTCGTTATCATCGCTTTTGCCATTATTTCGATCATTTTTCCATTTAACCTGCTAATTTCATCTCGTCGTGGTAATATGATGTAGAAATCTGAGCTAGCATATATTTGTGCCATGCTGTATATTGACTATAAATGACTGACAATTTACTTCGGTATCTCCAATTTTATATTATCACTAGCTCTCGTGTATGCAGTGTGGATCAGTACCCGAAAACATGAGCATATACTTAGTAAATAAGTAGCATTATTAATTCGGCGAAATAGGTACTAATTATTTTTGGGTTTCCACATGTAGCATTTTACAGTTTATATGATATTCTAGTAGATCAGAGTTTTGATATCATGTACTTCATGAAACATTTAGTAACTGCAAATATATCCGAATGTCACCGGATATCTTTGTAAGAAGAAAAAGTTAAACCAGAATAAGTAAAGACAAAACTAATGCATAATAATAGACTACATGGATTAGTTGAATCGATTATTTTACATAAGTAAAAAATAAGGGTTACTTCTAGTTATTAGCGTTATCAAATAAAGATACTTGAGCTAGTTTCAAACAAGCCAAATGGCTTGTTGAACTGGTTAAACCTTGTTATATCTGGCTTCGAGCTACACCTCGAGTGTAAGAGCAGTGATACTACCCAGTTGACGAAACCAAAGTAAGTGGTCAGTTAGTCAGCTACATAGGATGTGGAACCTGGTTTATATATACATTGGTTCAAGTTGCCACACCTAATTAGATCAGGAACTTGAAATTGTCAGGGTGAATCCCAGGGTAATAGATATTGTAACAGTATTGATAACAGAAAAACCTAGTCATTAAAGATACGTTCTGAAGAAACATAATAATAATAATAATAATAATAATAATAATAATAATAATTAATGGCTTTATTCAATATTATAATCTGGTACAATATAGAATTCTCAGCACGAGTTATTTCAACAAGTTATTTTTACCAAAAAAAACACAAAACAAAACAAATAAACCAGTAGCTACTGCGCCACCACAGGTCTTTTTATTGTTTGATCGATCCTGACGATAGATATTAAGATCACGTAATGATACTAGGCAATCATCCTGTAAGTCAGTCAACCAAGATTCTTGAATTGTGATGACACCACAATTACGATACATGTTTTGACTTAGCAGAAATTGGAGATAGTCCACCTTGTTAATTAGAGATCGACAGTTAGAGTTAAGCAGCTCGGGAATCGACATTTGATTAATGTTTATTCTCTCTAAAGCATATTGCCAAACACCACAATGTCTCTTATTGTACTTGTTTGTAATTTTTGCAGCGAAAGGACGTAAGCTTTTCATAAACGCGCCTGTATAGGTTATGCGATCAAGAGACATAATGATAGGTTAAAACCAATTTAAAAAAAAACCCAGATAACTTGTTGAAATATTTAGATGGCAGAAACAGGTAGCCCAGGGATTCAAGCAGGCCGCCATGGGTCGCAGAAAATCTAGCGAAATGAATATTTATAAGAAATTTAGAAAATTGGGTTCTACGGGAAGACAGATTGGATGAACCTGAACCATTGCACGCGATTCTGAGCTATATCATCCAAAGACTTTAACCTTTGATCACGATAATCACACGGACCACAACCTACCTAATTACATGGCTCAGTCTCAGTAGCCAATGTCTTCATTAATTGATTCCACGTTTTGGTTTGTCCACACGTAACTTTCTCCCAACCTATTATATTAGCAGACATTGCTTATCGAGTTAGTCGATGGGTGGGGATACGTAATACATATTCTAATCATCTCACTGGGTAAAGATCCACTACCCGTCAGTCGATTTACTGTATTTATATCATTTACGACTACCAGTCTTTGACCAAGTTTATCGTGGAGATCCTAACTAAGAAGTTTACATCTCTATATGTATATCTCTCAGATCACTAGTTAATTTTTTATCATCTAAGCAGAGATTTGGTAGTGATGGGTGACCTACTATTTGGATTTTTTATTTACAAATAGTATGATTTTGTAATAATTTGCTTCCTTACTATCTTTTTTAAAATCATTTTTCTATCTATTATCAGGAATATGGATTTGTACACTTATCTGCTGGTGAATTACTTCGACAAGCTCGTGATTCATCAGATTCTGAATTTGCTAGTGAAATACAAGTACACATGAAAAATGGAACAATCGTACCGGCTAAAATTACTTGTGGTTTATTATATCAAGTTGGTTCAGTTTTTTTATTTTTGGTGGTTATTTCGTCTACATTTTAATTATTTCAGACTGAAAATTTAATTAATGTGTGTAATTATTTTCCATCATAAAATCAAGTTAATTGTGTATACGACTTACTATTCTGGTAATGCTCCGGTTCCTTAAAAACAGATTGTCGAATGTGCATTTCCCACCTGATATAATTTGTAGAGTTTAATCGCGACCAAACCTAAACGTGTGATTGTTGGATTGAACTTTGTTGGTAGATGCAGACTACCTGGTTGTGATCATTTGAATTGTTGTAAGCAATGTTTAGAGGCTTTGTGTAAGATGGTTCAATGAGTGGTTCAGATACACTCATTCTTTGTATTTGCTTAGATCTTGAGTTTGAAATTATCTTATAGTTTTCGTTCTGTGAATTAGTTTTTTCTTGAACCATGTTGTTTATGTCTAAAACGTACGTCCTGAATTCCGCTGTTAGTCATCATTCGTCTTTGCTTATAATGTTGTGTACGAGTGATTCCTGTTTACAATTGTTAGAATATTGACAGGAATATCCCAAAAATTATCTCGAACGTAAAGTGTTATGTTTTCAGACTCTTCACATATTTCACATGTTATTTCCTATTGGTCATTATTTACAGTTGTCCTAACTATGACTTTCACGTATCGTTTTCCTATTGGTCATTTTTTAGTTGTCCTAATTATAACATTTACGTGTCCTTTCTTTCCATTGGTTACTGTTCATAGTCATCTTAACTGTATAAATATGCCTTGTCTGTAAGTCATTTTTGATCTGCTTCGGACCCCATAGACAATCCTCACTTAACGGCTGTGTTCTGATTTATTGGAGTTGGGGGACAGTATTGGGGTCGTACTAGGATATCTGAATTTGGTCAGTCGGTAGAAATTCGCTTAGTCCTATCGTAATACGCAATAATTTGCGACGTAACAACAATCATTCTGATCTTTTATACTTGTCTATTTATTTATTTAAACACATAAACGTTGGTACAAGAAGACACCAAATATATATGCGCCACACTTCACTCGATTTGTGTGAGAGGTTGGAGTACTCCTGAGCGGCTAAACCGAAAAAGTTCTTCTTAGGGCCCGAGCCTTTCACCAAGAGGTCTAATTAACAAGGCAATTGAGAAACGTTTGGAGATGCAGTCTCATGGTAGCCGGTGACCAACAAGAGGATAGTACTCCGTTTGTTCCCTCAGGATCCTGGAGCCCATGTGCACCACTGATTTGGATCAGGGTTTCCCAACTCCCCTAGCTGAATCCTTCGTGCCCATCAATCCAGTTAAAGCTCCAGACATTCGCTTTTCGTCCTATCGATTTCGTGAAAAACATTCCTGGTACGAGGAGACAGTGAGTAGTACTTCCCTGATAGTGGCTGTATGCACAAGGCTATGTGAGAGCATTTTGGGAACGAGAGCTGACTCTCTCCAACCTCGACTGTACCAAGACATTTGGGTGCTAATCTTTTACAATTCTCGCTAGTAATTAATTCTGCGGTTAGCATTTAACTTAACTGAGGCAATTAGATATAGTTTCCGAATATTAAAAATATATGTATGTATTTTCCACTTTCAGAATTCTCAAAGTATAAAATTCCTTCAGTTGTATCGATAAATACTCAACGGCATGTACCTATATCCGATTCACCTAGCTTATTATTGAAAACAAACAGCCTTTATGACCTAACAACCTATATAACTGTTGTATTCGCTAAATATTTGTTTATTGGTAAAAAAAACAGACTTTTTAGTTTAATCATGAGTTTCGTTTTGTTGTGTGAAGTTAGTGTAGTAATTGATTTATACAGACTTGTGTACTTGACTTAGAGCCACACCCTATATATGTAAAGGCTAACGATATCATTACCTTGCTTTTCAAACTGAATTAGTTGGACTGAGGTACAAACGTCCAACTTAGTAACTCAATGTTAAATGCCTTAATTGCTGAACCATTAATCAGTGAAGATTAGTTTAATTTGAAGGTGGTATATTCGTTATTTCATTATTTTTTTTTGGATACACAATTTAATATTTCTATTCATAGGCAATGAAAAAAAATTCTGAAAATGCTAATTGTACAAATTTTCTTGTGGATGGTTTTCCACGTAATGATGATAATCGTTTGTGTTGGGAAAAAGACTTAGGCCCTCATACAATACTAAAGAAGGTTATTGTTTTAGACTGTCCAGACGATGTAAGTTTTAGGCTTTGTTATTGTTACTATTATTATTAATTTATCATTAATCAAACTAACTTATATGGTTACTGTAGGGTTTTGTAGAGATTATTGAATTTCATAGTTTACTTCATGGATTGATTTTAGTTTGTCACCCCTCGACAGTGCGTGCCCACGAATTCACATTTTAAGATAAACTGGAAAATTTCATTCTTTTTATTCTTGAGTAAAAAGTATTTGATGGTGAAAGGTGTGAAATGTACTGTCTATGATAGCGAGCAAGGAATCTGTCAAAATGAGTAGTAGATATGAATTATCTGCATTAGTTGATGGTTAAATATTAGAAGTATGATTGAAATTAGCTGATGAAACTGGGGAATAAAAAGTATGGATTAAGGCAAAGCTCTTGAGGCCAAAAGAAAGGTAAGGAATAACCCAAATAGACCGACTTCGGATCATGTTACTTAACGTCTCTAAACACTAATTAGAATTATCTAGGAATCTCTATCTGAAATTACATAATTTCATACTTGGTTTAGTCAAATTATTAATAACTTCTTAGTCTGTTGCATTGTCTTCGCTTGAACAATTACAGCACTTTCCCAACCTATTCCTATATTATCCAGTTCAAAATGATACGATTGTAATGAACTTGATTATAAAAAATCAGAAGGAATCAATAACCTAGTATTTCTGGTATTTCGACTATTATTACATAAGTGAAACTGGTTATTATATATGTACATATACAAAATGTAATCTCCATGTAATATTTAATTAACTAATTTGTTTCTTCAGGTATGTATCCAGCGTTGCCTTGGACGAAAATCGAATCGAGTGGACGACAATGAAGAAACATTAAAGCATCGGTAATTCTTTCATGTTTGGTATATTCTGTTATGATGTCACTTGATTTCAGGTAGCCGACTATAAAACTTACTGAAAGTGACTCAAGGAAAAACTACTTAAGGCCCTTTACATACGACCTTTTTGTGAGTAGTTCATGATTTGTGTTAACTGAATAATTCATTAACCCTTATCATTGGCGACGAGAATCCATAGGGCAAAGTGAAGTGTGCCATTTTTAAGGCTTAGTTTTATAACCTATTCTCGTTGTAGTAAGACAGAATTGCTGTAAATGCTGATTGTCTGTAGGCAACACCTTGAGACAGTCTCAATTCATTACAGTATTAATTTAACCTTGAGTCATGAGTTTGCTACTTTTAGTCTTACAGCTCTTCAACTGACCTATCCAATATTGTGAAGAACCTAAAGAAACAAATATTCCAACTAGTTTAGTTTTACTGGTTCATCCTAATATAAAAAAACGATCACCATGTCTAGGTAACAATGATGGGTAGGCGAATACAATGAACATATTTAATAATTAACTTAAAATGGTTTCTTTCAACTAATTGACTTTTTCATCCCTTACTAGTCGTTTCATGGATGTTAATAAATTATAACTTTGTTTTTTTATTGAAATGATTGATGAACATTCCAGCATAAAACAATTCAAAGAAGAATGTATGCCGATTATTAAATTCTATGAGGCACAAAATTTGGTGACCAGAATTAATGCAAATAAGTCTATACCTGAGGTAAAATTTTGTCTTACGATTTCCTTACTCTCTATTTTGTATCGATATCATGTTAATATTTTAGTGAACCGTGCTTTCGATAATATTATTCTGTTGTGTAAATTGAGGCCTAAATATTATGCTACTTCAGATTTTGTGGGCTTTAATGTGACTCCAATTAGATCGTATGAATGATTGTTGTTAAAATATACATCCTGGTTATCCTCGTATGTAATACATGACTTAATCCGTGTTGATGAATTACGGAGTTAAATAAGTCAAATACAAGAATGGATTTCGAATACATGTATTTTGTACATTTATTGATCTGGATAGAAAATCAGAGGGATGAAGCGAATAGAAAAGAGAGCAGCAGAAATGACACACATTGGAGATGGCGGGCAAGCCAACTCGCTTTTATCAAGCGTCAGACAAAAATGAGTTGCAAACATATTATGAATAAGATAAAAGTGTACACACACATACGCTCATATAAAAAATAGTCAGGGTTAACAAGTGAATAAATAACACGGTCAAAACGTGACTTGTCCTGAAGCTATAGTGAGGTATATGGGCTTAACATATCAACTGACATTACACAGATATACTAAACCGTGTCAAACCACATATTCTCCGATTTAAGCGTCAAGCTTATCATACAAGCTTAGTTGTAATTAACATTGCCGTTTTTAAAATAATCGACTAGACGTTTTTACATCTGATTTAAGCAGAGATGGGTAGAGGCTAGTGATGAAACCCAGGACGTGCGTTTCGTCTCATGCGAGACTCGTCAGCTTGATGTACCTGCATACCAGATTTCATATTCACTCCAGGCATCGAATTCACTACTGTTCGCTTCAAACATCTCGCTGTCCATTTAGCTGCTGAGTCCAGACAGCCACTAGCTTGTGCAATGGCGTGAAGTTTACTTCATTTTTGTATTGATTGTTTGAATCTTCCCATTGATGTTTAGGACTGCAATTGACCCATCTCTGTTTATAATGCATGCAACTTAAGGCAATATCGAGGCAATCCAAACAGAACGCACATATTCCAATAAGATTCTGGTGAGTCGTAATCCTAAACATCAATCAGGAGATTCAAACAACACAAAAATGAGTTTTCCTAACTGGCTTCGAACTATATGGAATCGGTCGACTACACACCATCATTTGATTTAAGAAATATCTCAGAAATTTTGTATTGTAGTCTGTTACTCTCATTTTAATTGTCGAATTTATCGATAGATTCCATCGTTAGAATATTTTTTATGGTAACTGTTACTCTCATTTTAATTGTCGAATTTATCGATAGATTCCATCGTTAGAATATTTTTTATGGTAACTGAAGAGAGAGGTGAGTAACCGAAGCGTTTCATATAATAGTGAATCCCTCTGCCATGATGGCCTGACTATTCATCCAACGTGAACTATTTATCCAAGCAACCTTATTTATTAAATATTCTTCATATCCACCATCATACATACAAATGGACATAGTTGTGTCTCATAAAAAATCACCTAGACTAAAACTAACGTGACATTGACATGTTCAGACCTATTATGATTTTGACTGTGCCAAAACTATTCTGCTTTGTTTTGGTGTATAAATGTGAGGTAAATCGATTGACGAGTTCTTGTCTTTATTGGTTGAGGTGGTTAAACCATGTAACCAAAAGCATTGCCTCGATGGGCAATATTGTCTGGAATAGAAATAGATTGCAATAAAACTAGGTATAATAAAAACGAGATATAGTATAATCCCATAAGATAGATCATCAACTGTTAGTCTGGGTCGGGTTTGTTGGTGTATACCTGCTTAGGTATACTCAAAACAATCAGTGATTGTAGATATTGGTTAACATGATTCAAAATCGGCTATAATGGCTCTGAACCACTCACTCTTTATCCCTCTCTAAATCTTCAAATCCATTGCTTCTTTTCGAACTGTAATGTTTAATCATTCTCATTATTATTGATACTACTATTTCGCCTTGTTAATTTTTTGTTTTTGTGCTGATGTGTGGTAGGGGAAGTCGGCCTGATACATTTATATCACGATATGTAATGATCACAGTTAACTGAAGCTTCCTGTCCATTTATAATTAACTAGTGAAATGTCGAATTGTAAATCATCGAGAAATGAATGTGAAATTTACGGAAAATGCAGAAGCGGAAAGTTTTCTGTATGACATCGTGTACTTCAAACATTTACTTGCTAAAATTTATTTAAATTCCTTTATGATATACGAGTAAATCAATGATTCTAATAAAGCTTAAAGACTAAATTTCTTTGGGAAATTCTAATCAGCTCACTTATTATGATTATAAAAGATGTTAGTTGAAATGAACACGTCAACATGTTTCATTCATAAATTGACAGTGAAGTACGCTCCACTTATTTAATAAAATGATTATGGTTAAATTCATAACATCCGATAAGATTCATCAATCAGAATCTGGATTATAATTCTCTACCCCAAGTAATACTTATTTCGTACATGAACTATTAAAAGGTAAGGGTACACGATATGAAAACCACGCTAGATAATAAATTAGTATAAGTCCCTTATTAATCCACGTTTGTACTGGATTAGACAATGACTATGAAAACTAAGTTATCGTCCCATCCTTGTCGGCTTTCTATATACGGAATAATTGATGGGTGTACACATAACTACACCATAAGTGATAAAGGGATCAAACTACCGATTTCGTTTTCCATCAAACATGTTTTACAACAATATAGAATACAATGTTCCTATGCATTTCAACAATTATTGTTACGAATAAAGAACATCTTTAAAAAGTTTTTTTTTCTCACAGGTATATGAACAGGTTCGACAAATGATGAAAACATTGAATATCATCAGTTGCAAATAAAGAACAAAAAATCTCCTAATTCAAATTTCGTATTTGTATTTTATAAATTAACACTAGTTGTATTTCTTTTTTATGACAACGGTATTGCATAATGATCATTATTTTATAGTTGATTTGATGTAAACAAACACAACGGATATTGATTTTTTTTCTTATCATTGGCTCTTAAAGTCATAAAAGGCATGATTCTTTTCATTGGGAAGAAAAATTTATTTCAGCAGTAGAACTATGCGAAAATGAAGTAGTAGTGTGGAATTAACATTATTCATTTCATATATCTATTTGAATACAAAGAAAGAGTTCGACTATGATTATACTTTGTCAACTATAATACTATTTTTATTGTTTTACATAAAAAGATGTGATTTCCTTGTCTTTATATTCTTTGATAATCAAGTATAACATGTAATAGTAATAATAATAAAATATATTGCCTAATGATGAGCTGTGCAACTTTTTATAAGTATTATTTCATACATATCTGGATTTTAATTCGTACAGATTTGTAGATGTCCCGTTATGTAATTGTTAGCTTACGATTATTCCAAACCATCAACTATTGAAAGACGTCTAAAATGAGCGGAAGCTACGTATTCTAGAGAGCTCTCCAACTTATCTTAACAAGAGTAATCTCCCTGAACCGTTAAGAGAGCGAGGTTAGATTTCGAGAGCAATGTGACATGTTCCAAGCAGTTAAAACTGTAATACAATTTTATACTGGCAACAACCATAATCTCAGAACCAAAAAGGTGATGGTAATCAATCAAATAATATTAACAGATTGATGGTGTAATATCAATTAAGGAAAAGTTCCTGATAATCACCAAACAAAGAAACTAAATACTACGAGGTATTCCTAGTTATTATGCATATTCTTAATTCCAGAAAATTTCACAATTAATTTCAATCTATCAATTTCTTATTAATCCTCTTAAGAAGACGAGACCTGACTTTTGAATTATTTCAAGGCTAATTGAAACCCGATTTTATAAGTTGTACTACGTTTGATTTGGAAGCTTAGTACGCTTGAATAACGATGTTTACACCTTACATACATCACTTCTGAAGAAATGTCCTAATAAGTGTTACAGTAATCGTCTTTCTGTATTCATTATGGACAATTTGAAAATCTCACTTTCCTAAATAGTTATTGGTTTAGATACTAATAAATCTGCACTAATATAAACCCATCCATGTAATAACATGTACGATTGTTAGATTTTTGATTCGTGTTGTAGTTTTGCATGAAAATAAATCCCCAAAAGCATTAGCAGTTTCAATCGCTTCAGTATACATGCCCAACTAATTATGTTATTCATTATGTCCTAACACTGATGAAATAAAGTTTACATTTATTAAGCATAGTATCATAATCTTCATATTTTTTTGAAGAAATGTATCGATAATTATTGGTGTAAATTATCATTTGTTTGAATACATTCTAAACTAGAAAATTTTTCCGGAAGTGGATTTTATAAAATTTTAACCGCATATCGCAAATAAGAGAGCGTCGGAGTCTACTCGACAGATGTGTATGAACAATAAATTCAAATACATATATGCATAATCGACTGATCCATCTTTTCAAAACAATAAGACTCTAGTGATAGTTTTGTGTGTAGTGATCACTGTTCAATGTATTCAAATATCGTGGCATTAGTTACTGAATGATGAACTGAAAAAGTAGTGGTTTTCGCAACTTTTCAATAACTGCTAGGAATCAAAATACTGTTAGGCAAATGTATATATTACAGACGTAGTTTGTCCATGAAGCACACACAATTTGAGACAGAATGGAAATAAAAAAACTTGTCGAATGACTAACAACCAAAATCATGTTATAACTCATAAAGATACAAAGTTGCCCTATGATTAGAATGACCATTTAAAATACACTTATCAAAACTACAGGCGAACAAACATTCTTGAGTTCCTATAATACCACCGCAGACAACTCACTAAAGAAGTGTTCTCACACTGAATTCTATCGAAAAGAAATAAGGTTATGGAAGACTTGATGTCATTCTACATTGACTAAGAATAATAATTAATGGCTTTATTCAGTATTATAATCTGGTACAATATAGAATTCTCAGCACGAGTTATTTCAACAAGTTTTTTTACCAAAAAAACAAATAAACCAGTAGCTACTGCGCCACCACAGGTCTTTTTATTATTTGATCGATCCTGACGATAGATATTAAGATCACGTAATGATACTAGGCAATCATCCTGTAAGTCAGTCAACCAAGATTCTTGAATTGTGATGACACCACAATTACGATACATGTTTTGACTTAGCAGAAATTGGAGATAGTCCACCTTGTTAATTAGAGATCGACAGTTAGAGTTAAGCAGCTCGGGAATCGACATTTGATTAATGTTTATTCTCTCTAAAGCATATTGCCAAACACCACAATGTCTCTTATTGTACTTGTTTGTAATTTTTGCAGCGAAAGGACGTAAGCTTTTCATAAACGCGCCTGTATAGGTTATGCGATCAAGAGACATAATGATAGGTTAAAACCAATTTAAAAAAAAACCCAGATAACTTGTTGAAATATTTAGATGGCAGAAACAGGTAGCCCAGGGATTCAAGCAGGCCGCCGATAAGAAGAACATTCACTTTAAATGGAAGCATTTCATAATAAATTTCTTATGAAGCAATACTGCTGCGACATTCACTCCTCTGCATGTTGAAGAATCCACTTTACACCTATCTAACCAAACGACAACTGACCAAAAGCAGCGACCACGAAATTATTCTATTCTATAGGTCCAAAACGCAGCTAACTCTATACCCAATAGCCAGTCAGAAGACAAACACATCAAACCGACAATTTTATTATCATGACTTAAACTTGTAGGATTTTAAGGCTTTGAGAACATGGCCAAAATGTACGCTTTATATACAACTAAGTAGTGAGTGATACATAATAGAGCGATAATTTATTGGTCAATTTAAAGACAATTCCAAAACACATCGACTATCGGTATGCTAAATGAAGGGTTTTAACATCAAAATAGTATAAACCAAATGTATAAGACTACGAAGCAAAAGTAGAGAAGATAACTCACTATATAATCGTCATTAGTCCCACCTTCGTCAATTATGCGCTATATCAAACAGATTTCATAATTAATTATAACTTCATTATCTGCTAATCAATTTAGACTACAATATCATACTGTACCAACACGACAGTTCGTTCGGTGTTGAATCATTTTGCAAATAAGCTGATCACTTATTTCTCTACTCATACCATTATTTATTAACATACATTTAATTCAATATTTCCCGTTAGTTGTATATTTTTTTCATTTTTCTTCCCTGCCCAACTCATTAAAACGATTATCTTACATTGACCAATAATAAACAACAAAAGCAGTTGAATACATCTACCTACTCAAATAAGTAAACGATTACATAATTTAAGCTGTAAGAGAATGAAAATAAGAATTACAACTATAAGAAACAAAATAACTGCAGGGAAGGCTTTCCAATATATTTATTTCGCAATTGGTTATCATCTAGCTGAAGATTATTATAAGTGTCGTTACTACGAGATACCAAACACATTTCCGAGTGGATGCAAAAAATTTTTTCGAAAAAAAATTGGGAAACGGTTATCTCCTACATATAAAAAATACATCATATTCTGTAAAGATGGATTAAAACTTTAATATTGTCTCAAATAAAGAAAATGCAGTAAGTAGCTGGATTTAATCTAGAAACGAAAATTAATAAAACATAATTTTATGAGTCCATTTAAAAGTAGAAAAAGTGTTTGCACACAAATGTTATGGATTCACTACATTGTAACAATCTTGATTTTTGGAAATAAGAGAGGGAATCCACTCTAACATTTAAATAATTTCATCTGAACGTTTTAAGAAAGCCAGAACTACTTTTTATTTTATTTATTTCAACACATAAACATTGGTACAAAAGAGGAACCGAATACATATGCGCCACACAAATCTCATTCGATTTGTGTGAGGGCTGTGATACTGCTCAGGTTCCCAAACTGAAGCAGGTGGTTTTCTTAGGGGGCCACACCCATAGCCTTTGACCTTAAGTCTGATCCACAAGGCAGTGGAGCATCGTGAGGAGATGCAGTCCCATGGTAGCTAGTGACCAACGATCGATTCGTACGCCATGTTGTTCACTTAGGATACTGGAGTTCATGTGCACCATTGGTTTGGAATGAGGATTTTCCAACTGCCTTAGGTGAACGAACCGTGTCCACCAACCCAATTAAAGCGCCGGACATTCACTCTTCGTCCTCTCAGTTTCGTAAACAACACCCCCGCCACGAGAAGGCAGTGAGTAGGACTTCCCTGGCAGAGACCATATACGCGTGGCCATGTGAGAGCATTTCGAGAGGGAGAGTGGACTCTCCCCACTCTCGGCCGTACCAGGGCATTTAGGGGCTGCTACACTTGTCTGACTCCATTTGGAATTATGAAACTAATGCAAACTACATATTTAATAATTATCTGTATAAATAAAAACAAACCATATCAAACTTCATAGTGATTTCCGATAGTCTATGATAATTAGAAATAACTCCCATCTTTTTTTCGTCAAATGAAACTTTTTAGCCCTAAAACAAGTTTAACACAAACATTGGTATTTTACATAGTTTTTCTTTTGGGAAGATTCCCTAACTGTATGAAATACGAATCCCATGAAGAAAAAAAACAAATATGTAGGAGGAAATATCATTTTTTTTCCTCCAAGAAATACCTTTCAAATGTATAACACAAGGTGATATGGATAGTTACGTGAATATCAAACGAAAGCAATTGGCATCAATTAAAGTAATTTGCTCACAGTGGATTGTGTTTCACAATTCTACTATTGAAATGTAGGCTATCCTGATGTGACTCAGGGTTATTTCTTTTTAGTATATTTCACAAGATAGTCATTCCTTAGGTGACTGCCAAGTAAACAAAAGCTTCGTACAGTTTGGGTAAATGGCTTATACGAAGCAATACTATAACTTCTTAGAAGGCAAGTATAATGATCTCCACGATCAAATCATATACTAATGATGGATAACATAATGTACATCTGAAATAAGAACATATAAATGTAGATTCCAGTGGAAGAAGAAATCAGGAAGAGGAGCCGGAAGTGGATAGGATACATATAGAAGAAATCACCTAATTGCGTCACACTTACATGCAATCCTGAAGGCCAAAGGAGAAGAGGAAGACCAAAAACAGATTACGCCAAGAAATAGAGACAGACATGAGAAGAGTGAACTAAAACGGGATAGAACTAGAAAAGAGGGCCCAGGACAGAGTGGTGGTCGGCGGTCTATGCTCCATTGGAAGTAATAGGCGTAAGTGTAGAACATGACAAGTTCCGAAGTAAAAACCGGAATATTGGAAACCGTGCAATAAAAGTAAATTCAAACAGCAGGAAAACCAAGGAATCCAATTTCATTACGGTACGCGAAATTGATGTAAATCAACTGGCTGTAAATACACTATATGAATAGAGCACTAATTACGAATGTAATGCAGTGACAGCCTTTCGGTATGAAGTAGAACTTAGCTAAAATTCAGTGCTAATGTCAAACAATAGAATATATTAACTGATTGTTGTACAAGTTAGGTAAAATAAAGACTGACGAACAAGAAACCAAATGCATTTGCTGATTATTAAATTCAACCTGTCAAGTTTACGCAAAAGATGACATTTGTCAAGAAACCCTAACGAGAATTTCTACGCTACAATCAAAATAATCACTGTTTCTAAATAAACTAATTCTATAAAAAGTTTACCATAATTTTTCGAATAATTGTGACTGTTACTTAGAAAATGTGACAACTATGATCTTGTTTTATTTAAATCTTCTTAATAACACAACTGATTAGGATTCTAGGTTTCAGCATTGAAAATGTTACTCTCAGTCAGTCAGTTACAACGTAGAACTTTGTACGTACGTACATCAGTTTAAGTTGCCATACCACATTAGCACAGAGATGAAGTGAAATAAATTTGGAAGGAGAAAAAGATAGAGACGATACCACGTTGAAAACACCGGTTCTCGTCCGATCACCGCAGTTAAGCAACACCCGACCGTTGCTGCTACCTTGATGTGGTGGTCGGGCTTGTCTATCGTGATGATCTAATCGAGCTATGTTGGCCGGAACAATTGTTCCTCAAGGTCCTACCATGCCAGACAGGTCGGTTGAAGAGCGGTAAGACTAAAAGCAGCAATCCCAAGGTCCGAAGGCGAAGTCGTACTGCCGATTGTACAGAGGTGTGAAAGCAGTAAGGTGTTTCCTTCAGACAACCAGCATAACAGCGATGCTGCCTTCCCAAAAGGAGGGATGGGGTTAGAAAAGGTCGACCCTAAAAATGCACACCTCGCCTTATCCCACGGACTTCCGTCTCCGGCGGTAAAGTCCTTTGAACAACGGAGCTAACACGTCATAAATCCCATACAAAAAGGCCGTGCATGACCGGCCTCAAGCAGTTGTCCCTTGGGTCACACTCCCAGGTCGTTATGACCAACACTAATCCAACTTCCTTTTCAGGTCCTTCAAGAAATACTTTTCCACGGTGTGGGCAGTCGGGAAGTGATATTAGCCCTCATAAACACAACTGCACACGAGACCAAGTCGATCACTTTCAAATGTCACTCTATGCAGAGTTCATTGCTTCCTATCATAAACTGAAAGTCTTATCCGGTCAAACTACACATAAACACACACACACAGGCTAACTGGTAGTAGGAAATCTATGTGAAAGAGAACCTTTCAACAATAAAAAAAACATTAACAGAAATGAAGTAGGTTTATGTATAAAAATAATCTTTTAAAATTAAATCCAAAAAATCCAAATTAGAAAAATAGATTAAAAAAAAGATACTCATATTATAATTGATAGTTTAGAAGAAAAAAAAAGGAATACCTGGAACGATAAAATTGCAATACATATGAACAGTAACTAATAGCAACTTGCTTCGAAGTGTACTACCGTTCATATATATGTACGAGGATGAAAGCACTGCTGTTGGTAATGAATAAATGAGATGACTTAGATTTGACACATATCAATATCTGTGTTAATTATTCATATTATTATGCATCTTCAAAATGTATATTGTTTTGACAAATATATACATTAATAATATATGGGGAATAGCAAAATTCTCACTGTATTCTCATTAGATTAGATACCTTGTCTATCTGAATACAGACAGAAAGATACATGTTAACATGTTCAAGTGATTTTCTTTATGGATAATAAATGCAACTGATCGTTGATTTTATTTACACCGCGATAATCATCATCATCAGTATATAGAGCAATAATAATAATGAATAATATCAACAATAATATCACCTATATGAAAACCAAACCGACGTAATATGCAATGTATTAAGTATCTTAATAAAAAAGAGTTGATAATACCTTGAGACTAATCATAGCAAAGAATGAGAAAATCGAACTAGTTACGTTTTTTGTTGTTGTTGAAAATAATATATAGCTAGTCATTTCTTAATAACTATGCACTACTTAAAAATTGACAGGAGTATATATTAAGTACATTCAATTTCGTTTATATATATGTATATATAAAGAGTGCAAACGTAGAAGAGAAACACAAGTGGGGTTTAATTGATTATCAGTGTTATTTGATATATTGTTTAAGAAACAGTAGTTCGTTTATATATAAAAAAAACTGAACAGGAGTACATTTCTCTTTCAGAGTGAAAAAGGAACGAATTAAGAACAAACACAAACAAGCCACCTATTGGAAATTAAAGCAAACATCAGTAAATCAAACAATCAAGAATAACTTTGCCTGTGCATACACACACACATACACTACTCAACATAGAAAGAAATAAGTAAGGTGACAATAACATCCAACATGCAAAAGAAAGAGGGGCATGTAAGAGATTTTGAACAAATAAATGAATAGGAAGGGGATTTCATGAAGATGAGCCATCAATAACATTGGGATGATTAGATGTGAAAGACTTTATACATGGGGATTTTATGGAGGAATCGACAGTTAACTTGCTATCAAATTTAGAAAGTTTTAAAAGTTTACTAGAAATACATTCATCTAATGGTGATGTTCTTGAAGATGAAATGGATTTTATTTGAGTAACCGGAGCAGTGTGCTCACGGTTTGAATGAAACGTCCGTTGTGGACCGCGTACAGGGATTACAGGACGCGATTTAGTCCGATCACTAGCGGAAGTAGATACTGTATTCCTAGACAATGGAGCAGGTAAAAACGATAAAGAGTCTAAATGACTTTTGTAATTTTCATTTGACGAATCGCCACAACTACCTGAGACACGTTTACGTTTTGATTTACCGAAATTTTTGTCATCAGAAATATTATTTTCAGATTTGGGGAGAACTCGGGCATAAATACATGACTTTTCATCATATTTCATTTCTGTCATTAGAGAATCGACGTCGCTATCGACTGGCAGATCAGTATAAAACTTGGGAGATTCCGAAGACTGTCGGCTAATTTCAACACCAGGATCCAAAATAAGCTCATCGTACAGACTATTGTTCTGAGAATTTCGCAGTCGTCCAGGAGACACACTAGTAACGTCTTCTAATTTTGTTTCCTCGTGTAACAACACGTTCTTAGTATCAGTATCGCCTCCGGAATTCGATATCTCAGCACAAATCACTGGTTCAAGTTTTTGTAGTTCGGAAGCCAAAAATTCTGCAGTGCTTTGAGTTAACTGTAGTCTTTGTTGCAGCATCATTAAAGAACTACCAAGCACTTCAGCTTCTGTCTCAGCTTCCTCCACTAAATATTCCATATCTTCAACAACAAAAAATAAAGCATTTATTGAGTACTCAATTAGCAGAAACAAATACATTAAGAACAATTATTAAAAAATAAAGGGATTAGAAACTGATAAAGTTTATTATCATGGTATCAAACGGATTCATTGCTTACAATAATTAAGAAAAAAATCTACCTTTACATAGAGTTTACAAGTTAAAAGTTTGAAGAAAATCCAGCTGATCTTGTCAGCTAAGTCCTTAATGGAAAAAAATTAACTAAGAAATTATAGTGTACAAACAAATATTTAAAACGTTTCTGCCGATGTCCCTTTTTTATGACCATGAAACAACAAGCTAAGACCAATGTTACAAATTGAACAGAACTTTAAAATACGTTTTATAGGCATCTTGAAATGCCTTCCTTAGAGCAGCATGACAAAATTGTCACCAATACACTGTAAATATGTCCAGAACCAATTGTTCTTAGAAAAAGAAAACATGTCAAATTTTCTTCAAGATTACAGATTTGGAACAGAAATCTCTCACCGTATTCCTATAAACAAAACGTTGAACTCTGAGTGACATAATAAATTACGAACCTATTTGAAATCCTTATCGTTTATTTTACGATATTAAATTATTTGAACGATCGGACGTGTTAAATTATTGCCTCAGTTATTACTAGACGCATTTTAGGGAGAGAAACAGGTGAACCACTAGTTTGTATATCTTAACCAGTAATCATACGCTAGAATTTTAGCGTCCGCTAAATAAATTGAAAGAAAATTTTCCATGAAGATAAGAGTTCAGTGAAAAGATATTTAAAGCAAGTCAGCTAACATAGAGATTGTAGACAAAGATTAGATTGCTTTCAGGGAATTTCATTAGTTTACAAGATTAAAAATAGAGAAACTACGATTACACATTATTACGTATGCAAAAGTGTGAACTACTGATTTTATATTGTATTTTGAAAATAATCAAATCAGAGATCTGTCTGTTAGATACTAACTAGTACAATGAAAAAAATGTTCAATAATTTCAATGACTTACAGTATTTGAGAAATAAGACCGTTTACCATAAGACGTTTACCTCTGAATGACTGGGGATTACTATTTTATTCTTTTAAATGACATGTACATGTCCAACCTTAATTCTATGAAGATTAGATCACTACTGAATAATAATTAGCAGTTATATATATATATATATATATATATATATATGAATAGGTGGGTTTATTCACCGATCAAGTCAATAATTAAGAAATGATGCTTTATTTTACTAGATCGACTTAAAAAACTATCTTCAACCAATATGTTGGGTATTTGGGAATTGTAGGTTAGTGGTAAAACCATTAAACTTTCGCAAGTCGGGAGTTTTAACTCAGCTATATTTAATTTCGCTTGGAAAGCTGAGCAGTAGATAGTATCATCGGCCTTCATACAAATAAGCTGGAACGAAACCGAGTACACGAATATGTACTTTAATAGGCAATTGTCAAATAAACTGACAGCTTACTAATTAAAACTAAACTGGTGGTAAAATTACTTTAAGTTTACAATGAATTCATACCTAAAATAAAACATCACGTAAATTGCTAAACCAAAGTTTGTGTTTAGCAAATGCAAAAACATATATTATGCAATTTTTCCGATTAGATGTTTTGATATGGTGTGTATGATAAGTCAGTTAGTTAGTTTACAAATGGATAATACTAATGAAAATTACAAGATTTTGATAATGAGCAATTCGCCATTAAGTAAGCAGTTCTCAATGTTCCGCGCTGTATAACAATTTAGTTACAGCAAAGGTAACATTGAATAAAGTTTCTACAGTAAGCAATGAACGTGTCATCAAATAAACTGAGTTATGAGAACGAATTAATATTTACTTATTTTTAACTAGTTTTTGATAGTGAAATGATGTGGTGGACGATACTTCATTGAAACTGAGGAGCAACAATATGACAAGGTGAGAGTTAATTTTATTGTTGATGATATCAAGAAGATGAGAAGGAATGGTTATTATGATGAATACACATGAGTACCGTTCCACAAAGCGTTTTTTATCCACTTAATGCATTTATTTTGACTGAGATAAGTTATTAGAACAATTTCTTTAGATATCTTTATTATTGACCACAAACCATAACACTTTAGTTCCACCCTCTCATATATACACACTTACCTGAATGAGCATTCTTCAAGTCATTTACGAATGCACGTCGTAAGGAAATTTCCGATTCTAACCGAGCAGTTCGACCAGTACGATTGACATTTGCTAGTTCTTCATTTTCATGTTCAAGAACACGAATACGCATCATCATTCTTTTTCCATTTTGACTACAAGTTGAATAAACGAGAAAAAGACGATAAGTATTTTTGCAACGTCGATACCCACTATTAGGATTAAAAAAGATGCACTGGATAATTATAGGTACTTACTAACACTCTACTTATGAACTAATAGTTTTCAATGATTTGGTATCGCTACAGATGAAACAAACGGTTTTTGATAGACATCATCAACATAGAGCTTGGTACAAATATGCGTTAGTTAGCCCAAGTTCCCATACATGAATAGCATGACGAAATAAAAATAAAAAAGTGGTGGTAAGAGTGTAGCACCAAAGATAAAATGAAAAACCAAATAGGGAGTATATGGTTTGAAAAGACAGTGGAATTTTATGTATGTAAACAAAGTGATTGTCAAGCTAACGGCCATAATCTTCCATCATTTGAGGTACATAAACAATATCTGTCAGACTAGTTTTGACAGAAAGCACTAACCAGTGCTATTTTATTTTAATAAAGACCTGTACGGTTTGGCTGCAACACTGAGAAAAGGTTATGAAAAAAGTCTCAAACCTCCAGCAAAGCGACACTCGACAGGTATAGAATTCGGACCCACTCAGGTAAACCTCGGTAGAGAGAGAGCGGACTCTTCTCACCCTCAGCCGTACCAGAGCATTTGGGGGCTAATAAATAAACTTATAAACCATACCATTTATTCGAAGCTTAAGAATGCAAAAGGTGATATCATCAACGCCTTCAACGTAAAGTTCACACTTAAATCATTTTTAGTACGACAATTAACAATTTTAGTCCAAAAAATTCAAGTTTTTACTTTGAGTGAAATGTCTCAGAATATGTATGGCAATAAAGTAAATAAGAAATACAAGTGCAATACATATGATACCAAGACAGCAGAAATTTTGATATTAAAGGATTATTAGGATGTTAAAAATTACAAACTAACAACTAATGTCTAGAAAACTACAAACTAACTACTAAAAATCCATAAATTCTGAGTTACAACAAAACAGTTTCTGTATCAACAGAGCAGCTTCCAAATACACACGGAAATAAATTACTAACATAAAAAAGTATTACAATAACACTCGCTTAAAATTCGGAAGCCAAATAGATATACAGTCTCTGTAAATTCCGTTGATCAAAAGGAACGAAAGGAATAGAGGTAAGTTGAATGAAAAATTAAACATCAAGGATTATGCTGATACATAAAGTGAAGCATGAATGTCAAAATATCAGTAGTTGTACAGCTTTACACACTTTAATACTATAAGGTAATTGATCAGATACGTTACCGTAATTTTCGCAAGATTTTGGTTTTAAATGAACCTAAACTAATAACATGTTTCGCACCACTTAAACCTACCTGTTTTGAGTAAAAGTAAATGACTGAAGTTCAGATTGATTAGCTGCAACAAGTTTATCAAAATTACACTGTGTCTGGCGTAAACGAGATAGTACCAAGTTAACAGAAGAATCAATTAATACATCTGCATAGTTTGGAACATCTTTAATACATGGTCCATTGTCTACAGAAGATTTGGTGGATTGTGAATGAATTCCTGACGGTAGTAAACCACGAGTATGGGTAACAGATTTACCACTAGCCTGAGAAGGATTAGGATAAGGAGTAGGTAGAAGAGCCCCGCCTTTTGAACTAGTAATACGAGCCACTGCATTTGCAGGACCCAACAAACTATCTGCAGACTTGGTTAACCCACTACTAACCAAGGATGGTACAGGGCGAACATTGGAACTAATTGTACAGCCGCCTGAAGTAGTATGGTTTTTGTTAGTATCGATGTCACACGCATTCGAACGAGGCACTGAAGGGAGCTAAGAAACAATGTAAAACAAGGAAAAAGACAAACAATTACCAGAAGAATTAATTGCGTGGATCACTTGTATTTACTGTCGAAAATTCAGTTAAATCACTCACACAATTCAGTAGCTCATCGAGAACATGGATGTGACCAAAATCAAGTTATTGCTGAAACTTAACAATCTTTACTACTAGTTACTTGACGAATTATATACATGGTACTTAAAACATCGAATTAGAAAGAACTTCTGATTTATTTATATTTCTGTTCAATGTTATTTCCCAAAGTAAAAATTTGCAGTCCAGCAAATTTATAAAGGAATATATTGAATGGATCACTTAAAAAAGTTTACGATATATAGTACCATCCCAGCAGATATGGGAAAAAGTTTTCATAACCTTTGAGGTAATAAATTTCTGGAACTTAAAATTTTGGCATTTGTTACCTTGAAGCATTATCTACTAGTTTTACCAGCCTGAATATACTGAACGATGGAATTAAAAAGCTGTCTTTAAAGTGTTTTACGAAGTAACAAATTACCATAGAATCAGAAAACGAAATTTCCTGTTATCGAGTAAAATGGATGCACATCTACAAAACGCAAAGCTATTAGAATTTTCAAAACCTTAATATTTTAAGAAGCTTTACCCTATTACAGATCATGAACATCAATTCACTACAAGGAAGTTCACAGCAGGTAACTAATGAGGCGTGTTTGCCAGTTGAAACCTATCGTCAAATTCTCTGCTGCATGTTCTCAACAAGTTAAACCAAATATTTTTTAAGGATGTGATGAAGTGCCTTGTTTGAAAATTATTGCTGTCAAAAGATGGGACACACATCAACCAGATGACAGCTCTTCAGGCAAGAAGAAAACTAACGAAGAAAGTCATTACGAAGTCACCTTTAAAATCAGTTTCAATCCTAGTCACATATTATAATCAAAATACATAATGCATTGGATGAAGTCTTGGTTCAGTGAAAATTTTATTGATTTATACATAGGTGCACTTAAATTTGCAAACAAATACAAGGACCTTTGAACTTAACGAAAATAATAGGTTCACCGTAGTAGCTTTGTCTTTTACTCATTTGTTTCAAAGAATAATAGTTTTGAGAACCTCTAATGCTGAACTAACTTACTGAAACAAAACATGCTTTTTGTCATTTATCTGAACAGATGCTTTTGGAAGTTCAAGTCAATATAGCACACAAAATGTCAAGATAGCTATTAAAATCAGGACTCTTGAAAAACTAAAATTCCAGAAAGTGCGTAACTTTCATGTTAGTTAAACCAAGGATAAGTGGGTGTTGCTAACCAGACAACGCACAGGAGTTTATTTGCAGTAAAACTCTGAAGAATTTCATCTGACTATCGAAAAGGCCCTGTGGTCACAGTGGCGCATGCACTATCCATTTCTCTAGATCTGGAGTCCAAGCATACCTTTTCATTGTCATTTCGAGCCATATTCTCAAGGTTCAGCCTTTCTTAATATTATTACACATGAGATTATTTCTAATAATTTTCCATTTATTTTGTTTCGTGCTATAGTATGACAATCTGGACTAACGGTGTCAGGCTCTGCATTCATTGACTGACTAACCAATTGTCAAAATATTAGATAATTTATACTTATACAACAGAGACAAGTTGTTTTATTAAAGGATAACTAATATATATGTGATTTTAAGATTTATTAGAAAGGGAAATCGTTTCTATATGGAGAAAACAATCTTTCAAAATAAGCATCAGAATTACAATATTAGAAGTTTTCACTATCGGAAGACGGATTAAAAAGAGTCGTTCTAACAAACAAAATCATTAGGTTAATCAGTATTTGGCTATAAATTTATCCACTACTGTTTCACAGTGAAATTTCAAGAAATGTGGACATAGGAAGGAATTTATTATTATGTACCATTGAAATGTAGTAAAAATTCCAATCAATATATGGAAAAAGTCATATGATAACAAGAAACTGTTAAATTATAACTGAATATGCCGTCCGGGGGGGGTATTTTGTTTTTAAAACGATTCTTGAAGACCAATAACAAAAACTACATAACAATAGTAATGCTAGCTGCTAATAAACACCTGTAAGAATAAAAAATTTGCATTTATATTTACTTCATTTATTTAATGTACAAGCAATGCTTACAGGAATTACACAAATAAAATTGTTCGAACAAAAATATCAGGTTGAATGGTATTGTTAAATTTAGGTTTAACAAGTAGTCAGCATTTAATAATTTAGCGACAATTGTTAAGTATGATGTAGAAATCAAAATTATTCAAAAGAAGCTAACTTCCGGGTCATTAGAGTTAGAAATAAACACATTATAAAAGAGGGAAATTATGACTGAGTAAATGTGAGTGACTTTAGAGCTTAGCACTTAAGCTCACAGAAATATTTGACAGAAAATATCTAGCGCGGAAATAGATGCTAATCAATTTTTAATCAGAATACTTTGTGATCACAGCAACTATGATTTAAAACGACAAAAGCAGAATACAATAATGACTGAATATTTTTTAACCAGTCAAGGACTGATTTGATTCACTGGAATACTAAATAGTACAAAGAAAAACAATGAGCAAAAATATGTAAACGTTTATACGGTTAACACAGTAATTCAGTAATAACATTAATAGCATCGAATTGGTTGTAGTTTAATGACAAACTTGATCTTTTTCGAACTATTAACTCTACTGGACATAGAAATGTACTATACTAGGATAATTTAAGGCAATTTATCGAAAGAATTTCTTCAAATTATTTCCAAATGAGCAATAATCACTGTCCGTTTAAAAGTGGACATGGGAACTTTGGTAGCCAAGAAAGTCCAATGTGATTTAGAAAAATTGACGTAATATAATAAATCCGAACAACTCGTTAACCAATAATTGTCTCTCGCATACAGTTCTACATCATGGAAGACTATTAATATTACCAAGAAGTCTAGACAGAAGCAGGAGTGTCGAGAAGCCATTATTAACATGCGTACAATATTTGGATAGATAACTAACCACAGCAAAAAGTGATATCTGGTAATGGTGGTTGAATTCGTTTATGGTAGTGATGCCGACCAATAACACAAACTAGAATGTATATCCCTTGAGGTGTTGCAACACCAGGTAGGCTGATAAGATAGGTAGTTACTATCTTAAAATTACTCGCACTTGGTCAAATGAATGGATTATTTACATCGTCATAAGGGAACCACGAAATATTAGTTTGGTCATTTTCTCCACCAAATATACAAGAATACGGAAGAATTTTAAAGACTGAGTTCCAAAACCTTAACTAGGAAGCCGTGGTTTGTAGATAAATGTTGATACAACATAACTGTTCCTTCACCGGTGTCATAAACAGACCACATACACATCCAATTAGAGAATTGGGAAACAACTTGTAGTATCAAGAAACTAGAATAAAACACCCAAAGCAATTAGAGCAATTGAAGTCAGTGTTTTGAGATGTGAATGTTAATAGAATACCGCCCTTCACCATCACCACAAACAAATATTTAGAACCCGGCACTACTCAGTTACTGGGATCATTCATGAGCGATAGGTCAAAGAAAACTGTTACCAAACAGCACGTTTATGATATTCTTGACTCGGATAAATCAGGTTTAATAACTAGGTAACTGAAGTCCTTGCATAACAAAAAGAGTAGTTGTATCTTCCATCTTTTTCTATCTGGGATTCTCGCGAAAGGTTCCTCTGAATCAAAGAATTTAACAAATATTGAGGGATAGACCTGTCGGATGAGAAGCAACTCTTATTTCAAGGAATACCATTACTAAACCGATATACACGCAACTACACCAAGTATTCGGTTAACCCCATAGATTTAATGAATGTATCAAGTAGCGGAAACATGGGCCCTCTTGAACTCGTTTTGGTAACACATGTACAGTATGATTGTGGTAATATTTTAAATATAATTTTTTAAAAACCTTTGGACAGATGATCATCGTTTAGGCGAAACTTTTTCAAAGTGACAAAATATTTTTGTCGAGTTATTCTCTTCAGGTAATCCCGTTATTTATGTGACCGTAATCTGGAATTCACCTTTCCAAGATAGACAAGTTTAAGTTGTCTTTATTGTGAGTTTTGCTGAGCTTTAGAACTTATAGTTCAAAAGAGTCCCCGATGTCTTAGGCCGGTCGCTGCATTTCAACCTTGGGTCACCAAATAACTTATTCAAGTACAATGAGGCAGATGCCAAATGAACGATCTAGTAAAATATCCTGTATAAAGTTGAAGGTGAATCTGAATATTGCTAAATGAAGAGTTTCAGCGATAAAATGAATTAAGTTGAAAGAATACACAATACCAAAGAGCACTAAACAAATAATTTGTTTCGACTTCTAGGTACTCAGTACCTACTCAGTAAGTGAAAATCCATAATCGTACACTAGGAGAACCCAGAACTATCAAGTATCAAGATAAAAAACCTTCAAATACAACATGCATGTAGACAAGTCGGAAATCTACATAGGATGCTTTTCTATATTAAGTTCACTGAATAAGAAATCATGTGAATTTCATGATACGGTAATCGGTATATCCGATACTAAAGGCTTTATTAAATGCACCCACGAAATAGCAAGACACGTTTCTGTATTGTACTAGTACCTAAGCCTTAATGATGATAATTATATCACTGTCTGCCTCGAACAGTTTAATCTTTCAACGGTTTTCCTCAAAAGAGTCAGTTTGTTATCATCAACGTAGTCTGGAGGATACGTGCATTGTATCTCGTCCCCACACCACACCAGAGGTCAATGAAATCAATAAGACGAATCCCAAAGTAGTAGAAATATCAGTGATAGTAAAAGAAACCAGACAATAAGATTTCAAAACCAATCTGTACAATAAAAGATATAAAGTAGTTCTGAAATTCGAGATATAAAAGAAATTAATGAGTAAATACATATGCATCACTATGACTGATTCTAACTATGTTCCTGGACGTCTGCAACCACTAGTTACAATTTTGTGAACCCCAACAAACTAGTTTTTACCTACCTACATGAATCAGTTCAACAGTTCATGGTTTTACAGACTAGTGTCACGTTTTGGTTTGACCGCCCTTAGCTTGCTTTCAACCTACTCCTACAGAGGAAGTCTTTAGGGGTAATCAGTGTTTTGCCCACACAATATACACTTAGTTATCGTATTTGCGGGGATTTACAACTCCATGAATTGATTTACTCTATCCCTTCTGAGAACATTCCATACTCGATTGCTCCACGATACATAACGCTTTGGGAAGATACAAGACCAGAAAACTGTAGCTTACAAACAACGTTTATTTTCAGAGACCATGTCGCACACTCATAGAGTACTGCAGTAGGGTGAGAATAAACTGGTTAGTTTTTTTTTCGATTTCTAAGTTAAATTTCCTATTTGTAAGTACGGAATCCACGCCAGAAGAGATGGCATTTCTGCAACTGCTTAGTTGTTCTGCAAGTTTTGCAACAATCAATACGATTTATTTCGGTTATGTGAGTGCCAGGAAGCGATATAGTAATCGCAGTTGCTTTACAATGGAAAATATACTGAATTGCACTAACACAAGGGTTTTTGTTGACGGATTGATGGAGTATGATGAATGCAAATGGACTTCCACAATCTGTGTAAATATTGGCCGAAAATGGAACTATGAAAAGGACTGAAACCGTACTCGAGTATAGGGGCTAAGTGAGAGAGACTATAATTTATGGACAACCTTGGAACGAATATTAAATGACCTTGAAAAATATTAGTCAGTCAATAAACAGTCAGTATGGAGTATAAATATATTATACGAAACCAAAGAATTAAAGTGGATACACTTCTTTTACATGGTTCAAAAACTTTTCAAGATTAGAAAGAGGTTCAAAGGTTCTACATAATGTGGCTAGCAGTGGAAACCAGGGCGCGCGTTTCGTCCTATTTGGGACTCGTCAGCTGGATGTACCTGCATCTCAGAGTTGATGTTCACTCTGGGACTCGAACCCAGTACCCTCGCTTCAAACGCCATCGCGTTATGCACTCGGCCACTGAGTCCCCAGATGCCCTGGTACGGCCGAGAGTCTGCTCTCCCTCTCGAAATGCTCTCATAAGGCCACGCAAATATATAGCCTCTGCCAGGGAAGTCCTGCTCACTGCCTTCTCGTACCAGGGGTGTTGTTCACGAAAGTGAGAGGATGAAAAGCGAATGTCCGGTGCTTTAAACGGGTTGGTGGATGTGGAGGATCCACCTAGGGGATTTGGAAAACCCTGATTCCAAACCAATAGTGTACATGGGCTCCAGTATCCGGAAGGAACAAATGGCGTATGAATCAATCGTTGATCACCGGCTAATAGGGGACTGCATCTCTAGCTGATCTATGATCAGTGGATAAAAATGGTGAGTTCTAGGCACTGGCACATAATTATTTTAAAATCTAAATGTTTTGACACAATAGGAGATTGCATTTTAATTTCATTCAAGTACACATGCTAAAAACGCTTTTTATCCTGTTTCTTCCCACAGGATAACTGGAACGTATGTTGTTAATGTGGATATGAAACCACTTGCTTGAGAACAATAAATAATACAAACCTTTTTAACATACGCCCTTATATCTTATCAAAAACTAACGTAACTAATGTTAAATCAATCCATTCCAGGCTAAATAATTTACATACAACACAAGTCAAGAGAAAAACAACATGAAGTTCAAATAATTATAACTTTGCTTACCAGAAAATGACGTAGTTCCCTCTCTTTCGATTCTAATTTCAACGGTAGTAAAGCATCTAAGCGTTCAGATAATCGAAGGATTGAACGCAACTTTTCCCCTGCAAAGCAAGTTTAGATTAAATATGCACTGTACGTAGATTATTCTTCTCCTTCGTTTTAGCCTCGATTGCTCTTTCGAGTTCGAATATACATCTTTGTTCATCACTAAACAATGGCATATGTGATTTACAACTACCTTTTAGAAGACCTTTCATTGTGATCAAATCGAAATGAACTAACACCTTCTTCGGCAAACTGTTCATGTTCACCGGGAGAAGCCATGAGAAATGATCACTTATTGATGGCAAACAACACCAAATTTCTTTACGAAGGCATGTCAACGAACACCAAGAAAATGGCCGCTTGTGTGAAGGACGAAGGTGTTGTTTTACTTCGGCTGAATGTTCAATATACACATAGTATTAGATGAATTGTGTACAAAAACATAACAAAATTATGGACAGTGAAGCATATATCTTCGAACAACATCGTGTACTTGATAGCAAAGGCATCAGTACGTGGTTCGTTGCTGAATAAGGAATAAAATTTTACGATTTTGCGCACAGCACAGTGAAACATTTTGTACCGTGTTACCAAGCATTAAAAATAAGCGTTGAGTTATCTATTGAAAGTTAAAACTGTATCAGCGATTGCGTCCGCTTGATTAGATTTCTGTTAGAATCGTGGTTCTATAACCATCAGTCTCCAATCTGAGATTCAGTTTTATATTTCACCCACTTATTGGAAAACTTCTATGTTTTTGCATCTGTAATTAAGTCCCCAAAACAAATGGTTCTGCAGGTCTTTTATATTGATGTCCATCTCATTAGTTTCATTGGACACGAACGTAGCCGAACCCTCCCTATCAGTCATGGACGCCAGATCACGTTTGGGTACGTCTTGCAGTTCACTGCTTACAATAATTAGTCAACTCAGGGTGCATACACCTAGACACATCGACGGTTTTTCACAGATATCTCGTCATCTTTTTATTATTAACCCCTGGTTTGTCCGGTTGTGGGACAGTTATATAAAAGACTTATCGGACGACACGGTTGTTAAGCACTGAATATCCAGGACATCCTATTGTTATCGGTATTATTTGGTGAGATCTACAATTCTGTGTCCCAGTGTATAGACATCTAGCGTGACTACGCCCCACTGGCATTTCCATGCTTAAAACCACGAACATATTTTGTGACCGTTTAGTGTTAAAGGATTCTGAATTGGTGATGATATTAAATTTGCCTACTCCAAATGAAGTCTTGAAGGGCTTTTCAGAAATGAATGAATGCTCTGTGAATGCGTATCAGAACTACGACCAAACATCAGGTTAAAATGTGCTTGCCCCAGTAGTAGTCAACCTGATAACATCTGCACTATTTTAAAATTGAGTTAGATTCTTCTGGGGAATTAGAAGTAGTTTCAAACTTTCGGCTTTTCACCATAGACCTATGTCATCAAGAAATAATGGACAAAGTCAAAAGTATATTAGTGATGGAGCAGTAGCCATAAAACTGAACCATGGTGATCACCACATGCGCAATCTGTACTTTAGAGAGATGCATAAACCATTCGGACCTTGAATATACATTCGTCCTAACAATTCTTAGGTCGGTTGATTAGTGTCAGGACATCTACGTTCTCGATCCATCACTGGGAAAGTATGTTTCACTCACTTTAAAACTTTAGAAAATGTAGTATAAGATACTTAGCTTATTAACCCAACAGTGTAGGTCCATTTTTCCTCTGTCGTTGTCTAGTTTGTGACTCGAGAGAGACTTTCAGAGACTGAAAGTTTGAGGTACTAAGATGCTCATCGATGGGAAGTGCTATAATTTAAAGCTTTCAACTCGCCGGAGTGTTCAGGGATAAAAGAATGGACTATATCTCATACTTAAGAACGGGGAACTTAGAAAATATATATTCAGTCTTCACATTCATCTGTTAATTTTGGTCGGATACCACTAAAAACCAGGATCACCAGATGCCTGTTTCGATCTGACATAATTCCCCTTGGCATTTCGTGAATAGAAACCGAACTGAAGACTCTGGGGACAGGTAGCGAATACCTAGTACTCTGAATACAACAGAAGAGAGCTGTGATCATTTTCAGAACAATATTCGGTGTATAAAAAGAGTAAAATGAGGCTACGAATGAAAGGAGCAATACATTCGGACATAAATACAGATGAATCTAAGAATACTGGGTTTATCGTTTGAAGGAAAGTATTTAACCATAACTTTCAAAAGTCGATTTTATTTACCATAACAAATCAGGCCGGCATTAATTTTGAACGTTCACAAACTTGATTATAAGTGGTTTGTTCTTCACCAAGGTGTTAACTCTTGGAATCATTTTCAGCTGTGATGTTCCCAACTCGCCGCATTCAAAAAAGCCAACAATCACAAAGTAAAAACTGGTTGCGAGTTTCATTAGGGAAATCCCTCGAAGAGCAATCGAAATAATCTTGCAATTTATATATTTCGTTTCATCACCAACTGCTATGCAATCACAAAGTAAAAACGTAGAAAATGTTCATGAAAATTCCGTAAAACTCATTAGTTCGGAGTTCCCTACTCTTCTCCACACTATATATACAATTTTATGTATTTTAAAGTAATCTACTGTTTTCGAATGATTGTTGTATCAATTCAGCTTTCTGGTGGTATATGATAGTTAGAAGTGTTTCAAATATTGTACCAGTCAGTAATCCCCTGAATGGCATAATTTAGAGCAAGAAGAACTAAATGAACACAAATGAACGTATTGTGCTTGGTATTCGAAATCAGTCGGTCATCAAGTACGTAGGAATCATTAGTTCATACAAACACCACATGGTAAAATAAACATCTCCATACCAACCGATGAAGAAAGCCTTTTGCTTTTCCAACAATACAGAAAATTTAGCCTTAAGTTTCAACTTTGGCAATAACAGTTACCTTCCATCTAATTAAGAAATCTATTCTTATTACGAAAAGATAGAACTGTTTTCACATGCATAATTGATTAAAGCAATACAACAGTGGTCATGAAAGAATGCAACTGCGAAGAAAAATTACTCGGACGCCTATCCTCGGGACCATATCTGAAGACTGATTCAAAGAATCTCCAAACCGTCAAAAGTAAAGTTAAATCAGAGACAACTGGACTTTTAAGAGAACTAAAGCATTCTTTCGGCATCTGCTTATGGTTTGATTTGTAAACCAAACCTGACACTACGTCATCTGTTTGTAGGTTACCGAACACTACCAAATCTGATATCTCATGAAGAGCCATAATGAACTTCTCAAGTACACCAGGCCTGCTTTTTTCTAAATATTTAAGCAGTATAATGAGGCCACTTTAACATGACCTACGTAATAATGTTAGGGATTCATATAAACTTGAATCAAAGGTTTTTGTACCAACTGTCATCGAAAATAAAACAATCGAAAGCTATGATGCAACTTTACTGACTAGTATTCCGATTGGAAGGTATTAGAGTTTTAATAATGCTTTATCATAAAGTGGCGATACTCAATCTAGCAGATGTCCGGTAAGCATTATTTAAATCATTAATTCCCGCAAACTTTCTTTAATTTTAACACTTTCCACCTCCGAAGAGGATTTGCATAAGCAAAACCGGAGTGATCAAGAAACAACCACCTCAGGTTAAATGGAAACCTGTATGCATGTAATCAGTTGTACGTATTCAGAGGTTTATCTTACCGACTCAGTGGATACAGACTCCATAATGACTAAAATGTAATTTATATCACTCGACTTAACATTAGAAATCCGGACAAACTCACCTTGTTCCTGGATTGATCTGATGGGTAACGTAGATGCATTGTCACTTTGAAAAATATTTTGAAGACTACACAGTATATCTGATCGAATGAACTGATATTCACTTTTACAAACTAGATTCACTTTACAACCCTGCATGGGATGCATACTGTGAACAAATAAATGTTGTAACTTATAGATCATGCCTGTGAAAATGGCATGTACCTGCCCTTGCAGAAACAAATCATATTATTATAATATAGGATTATTAATCTATCACACAATACACAATGTTACAGAACGACCTGATAATAAAGCGAATGGTATTTCTGACAAGAGTTCGTTATAGGAGTTATATAGATTAATCTGAGATTGGAATCAGTGCTAATTCGGAAGGTTGTAATATGTTCTCTGTTTACCCAGCAATAGGAAGTAGTGACCGTAGTACGGTCATATTTCATGTAATTGCTACGATGATGCTGCCTATCTCAGTCAGACTAAAGCAGATTGCACGAACACGAAGGAGAATCATCAGCACGCCTCATGGCCACAAGAGTGGTGGATGCTAACAATAGATTACCAATGTGAGATTATGAAAGATATCACTCAGATTGCTACTTTACGAAACGCACATTATGTAAAACAATTACATGAAGAGGAGGAATCCTGGGTTAAGCAAGACAAAGGACGCTTGTTACAAACTAAAAGATTAGCCTGGCACATGTGGAAAATCCTTTTGAAAGGTTAGGATTATGGCGCCTTGTTGGTATTGAGAAGCAAATGCAACAAAAATGTCGAAGGCTATAGAAAATGTTTCCACGTCAAGCTACCAGTCAGAATACCTGTAAATCCTAAATATCTACAGATTCATGACGAAAATAAAATCAACAGACCAGAGGGTCTGTTCTATTAAATGATCAACTGGCAAAGATCTTCTCAACTTAGAAATGGTGGACACCTTTAAAACGAACTTCCCTGACCAGTTTATTAAGGAACACTCCTCAAATCAAATGCAAGTTGATGTTAAGGTAATGTTCAACTAACTCTCGCATTAGTACTAAGAAAACTAAAATCCCTATGCTCAGGACAATCACCAAAATGTGACAACATTTGACCTATAACCTCATAACAGTGCGTAGAATCCGTAAATACACAGGATTAAGACATGTTCAGGCACGTAATAGAGTCACACTAACTGCCAGTAAAGGAAACCGAATACTCTCCAATCTTTACTGAGAAAGACAGAGAAGATACAACTTGATAGGGACCGGTACCATTATTTTCACTTCTGTGAAAAGTAATGAAAGAACTGAACACTGAACAAATGAGTAAATATGTGGATAAGAGCAGCAGCCTATATGAAACCCAACACGTGTTAAGGAAGAGCAGATCGCGTGCGTCTAGTTACCCAGTAGATTATGACAGCTGAAAGAGCTTGTGAACCTAAGGATATCAGTTCGTGTGATCTAACTTGACTTTAGAAAAGCCTTTGACATCTTGCCGCACACACTTCCGTGGAGAAGGTCTCAAACATGGGTTTCACTGACCCAGTTTATATTGAATCTGAAAATACCTGAATAACAGATTGTTTCGTGCTGGCGTAAATAAACTGCACCCAATCTG